GTGTTGCACGAGTGGATCCAGTGCGAGTACTTGACTTGGTTGGCTTCGTCTGACTGGTGCTTTGTTCCAAATCCATGCAGGTGAAATTGGATAAAATCTTTTCGTTGTTGTTTGTCATTTTGAAAGTGAGCAAGCAGGAATGAACCTTTGAAAATGCGAATGTGCCGTTATTTTTCTCAGTTTTAGTCAGGGGAGAGGGTAAGTCTACTCTGTGTATTGTAGGTTTTATTGTTTTATTGTGTATATGAATGTATGGAGGAATGAAGGCGTGAAATAAAGAAGAAAGAAAGAGATCTTTAGCATGCCATGATGACATTGTTAAAATTTCGATGGATTTGATGTCAATTCAAATTTCAGGACAAGTGTCGGAGTAAAAGCCACAAAACGAACACATGTCTTGTACGTACAGACATGAAACATAATACCCTTAAATGGAAAAAGGACTGGATTTGGCATCATAATCCATTATAGTTTATTTAGTCAAATTCCAATATGTGCCCATTAATAGGCAAAATGTTTCACAGGTTTCACGTACAGACACAGAGACACAGAGGCTAGAATTCAGGCACATGTCTTTTCACTACATCTAACCATAAAGTAGAAACTAAAAGCATCTTCAGTTACACGCGCGTAGCGCGCTCACAAAGCGATCTGATCTGATCAACACCTTGCTTCATACTCAATTCTTCACTCCCTCATTCCATTCCCCTCCTTCCCCTCCTTCCTCTCATTCCTCATTCCGTACTCAAAGGAAAATAATAAAAAAAGCGCGCTTGAGAGAAGCTAACAAGTGATCAAGATCACTAAGATAATGATTAAACAATTGAATTATGAGGAGAGTATATTGAACTGGACTTGACAATATGAGTTAAAAGTATAAAGGCATGTTTGCTTATATTTTTCTTTTATACATCATACATCACCGCCATTTATTACGATAACCACTACTTGCAACGCTTGCTCGTACTCACAAATATCTACTCAATCCCTCAACAAAAAATACAAAGTAACCTATCAGCATGCCCCGCACTATCGCTTCTTCATCTTCTGGCAACGCTGCCTCCTCAACAACAAACGCAAGTCCAAGCGGCGCCTTCTTCGAATTTAGTGTGAGGCAAGGGAAAGAAGGAAGAAGTGGCTATGCACGAAAGGCTAAGGAAGCCAGAGATGAAAGAGGAAAAAGGAGAGAGATCCGCGAGGGCAAAAAAAGGGCCTGTTCTGTAGGCGTCCATAGCGTCTCCGAGGAACACACCCCTCGCAAGCGGATCCATTCCCAAGACACCATGATCGGTGCAACAACTGATAACTCTTCCAGCAACCTTCAATCGTCTTATTCGTCTGAAGAAACAGCAGAGCAGAGAAAAACCTGTGCCAACAATGTTCTTGAATCTCTCCTGGCCAACAAGAGTCCCTCAAAGACATTGCTGCAGTACAGGACGTACTTAAAAGCTTGGCAGGTAAATTTTTTTTTGTTTATTTGTTTATTTTATTTTTTAGGACATTCAATTTTTTTTTCATGCTTCGTAATACAAAATATGTAAATACAATATAAATGATAGGTGTTCTGCACAAGAGAAAAAGGGGACTGCAGCGTTGATGCAAGAAAAATGCTAAAGTTTTTCGAGGAGGTTGTTTTCAAGCGACAGTGAAGAAATATATCGATCCAAACGCGGGATTCAGTGGCGCCGTTGGAAAGGCTTCATCACAGGCGTCCAAATCAGTGTTGGAGGGTAAGCTGACTCGCGAAAATAAGAGAAAACCGAAGGCTTGGAAAGCAGAAACAGAAGAGAGTATTTTTCAGGATGTCGTCCATGAGCTGGAGCAAAATTATAGCCAACATGATTCACAGCCTTATGAGACCTTGGCCTTTGAGGAGTTCGAGGAAGCCTCCCAAGGTGACAAAGACGATGCAGGAAGCGAAGACGAGGAACAAAATCACTCGCAACCAGCTGAAGAAGAGGCCCTCATGTCTACTGAACCGCAAGCCCTCATGGTCTCCTCCATTGCGGAAAGAACAAAAGGTAAATCTAGTGTAATCATGTAACCAAAACAACCTTGTTCAAAGCTGTGGCTCACTCTTAATTGACATTCTGACACTTCATTTTAACCCAAATATAGTTCTTTCGCATCCGCTAACTGATGAGACTGGCCGAAAATTCATCTATGCGCCTATCTCGATAGAAACAGTGGATTGTGCCAGGAAGGCGTTAATTTATCTCTACAAGGAGCAAGCGTCATCAAAGGTGGATTGGCCAAACCCTGCACCTCATCCGCGCAAGGATATCCCGCTGAAGGAGGCTATCGAGGAATACGAGGGGAAACTAGTGTATGACACCTCATTCCAGGGGTCGACGCGCACTGATACCTGTTCTATTCGTGACCCCTATAATGAGAAGCAGTTTATTCGGATGGCCCTCCATACGTGGGGTATGAAGCCAATGCTGCGACTAAAAGGGAAGCGAGTGTATCATGCGGAAGGTAGATTTCAGTATATGCGTGAACGCCTTTGTATCTTGGCACGACACCATATGCTGTTGCGAGATGAGGATATTCGCAACCTTAATCTGTCTGATGTATTCAGCATCATGTCTTCCCATCCGGCAAGTGGATCCCAGCCAGCTCTCGGACTTACATTTTTCATATCTCGTGGCAAAACGAATAAAAAAGGTGTTAAGCTTTATGCAACCGCCTTTCGTCATAAAGTTTCTTACAGGTGTACTGTAGGAGCGTTTGGCTTCTACATGTTGGAACGATTCATGGTAAGGGATTTGTGCCATTCTTGTCTCTTCTTACTGCAATATACATTATGTACTTTCCTAGCTCGTTGTTAAATGTTGGGCCGTGTACCATTCCTATAATAGCTGGATAAGGAGGATGTCCCAAACTTCGCTGATCCCGATGATTGGTACAACATCAAGCTTTTGATCGCGGCTAGTACGATCGAGAGGCGCAACGCAGGCCTTCGCAAGAATGCTGTTGCACCAAAGACTCAAATCGATACCACAGCTTCTGTGATGCGAACCTGTGGCGTCCATTCGACCAAGGTCACTCACGCTGGTCGACACGCAGGAACATCAGATGCGTACCGTCTGGGCTTAGGCTTGGAGCATATCCGTCACCTTGGGCGTTGGGTAATGGGACAGATGGAGAGTTTCTATGCTCCAAAGAACCCCACCACGGGCGCGTTTTATATGGCTCATTTCAACAAGGAACAAGAGCCTTATATCCTTGAACGTAATCTCGTTATCCCTGACTTGGAGCTGCAGAGGAAAATTTTCCCTTGGATCGAAGGGAACTTTAACAGCAGCGCTAGAGAGAATGAGGAATGGGTCAAGGATTGTGATGATGCTATGACAGATGTAAACCCGGATCTCATCACGGAGGACGATCTGCACTGGGGAGGCTGGCAGGAGCGTATGCGCCATTCGACAGCGGCTAGGGATCAAGATGAAGAAACTACGGGAAGCTCCGCCGCAACGACCAATAAGCTCATGAACAGCGCAATGATTGATGGACGAGCTTTCCTACTATTGCTGGTACAAATGAGGAGAGTTATCCTTCAAGACGCCGTGCTGTACCTGAAGCCTGACAGCAAAGGAAGGACTTTGAGCAATAAACTTTTAGAATCACCTCCAGAAATCTTTGAGAGTCAGCTGTTCCTGGACTTTCAGATAGAGCTCCTCCGTGCAATCGAAGTGCATCAGCAGAGCGCCAATGTCGTCAATCCATTGGTCCCAGTTGACAAACATGTGGTCTCCAACGCGCTAAACAGCCTTAGTCACCAGAATGCAGCTATTGCTCGGCAAGAGGCACAACAAAGGGCGCAGTTGTCTGCCATGAGCTCAGAGCTCGCGACGCTAAAGCAGCAAATGGAGATAGTGATACATTTACTGCAAGGTCCGTCAGCTCGCCAAGCTCCAACGCGTCCCTTGAATGCAGCCGGTCTTCTTGGGCCATATCTCCATACTATGCCAAGCTATCCTGCTCTGCGCGGAGTCCCTCAACAGCAGCCGTTTGCGACGCGTCCCCCACAGGTACCTCAACAGCACTCATCGCTGGTTCAAGCTTCTTTACATTGCTTCCAACGAGCGCCGGAGTCACCGCATCACTCGTCCCCAGGCCCCAGCTCATCAAGCGCCACTTTTAAATGGAAAGCAGACCGTGGAAAGCTCACGGTGGCAGATGCTTGGGAGGAGTTTCATGGACCCCTTGCGGCATTCAAAAGACTGAACCCGAGTTGGCCAGTGAGTACGTCAGATCAAAGGGCTTACAATCGACGATATGAGTTGATTAGGCTGATCAGCGAAGCAGCGAGAAGGGAGGGCCGCAAGCCTGAAGACATTGTTGCTGAGTGGTCACAAGCAAATGAGGGAAAGACTATTAACTCGCTGTTAATATCCATGAAAGCTAGGGAGCATGAGGATCCTGAAGATGGCCAATAAATGACAATACACTTCCCCGGTAGGTAACAACATCATATATAGAAACATATACGATAGTAACACCATTTATAATAATGCATATAATAATAAAATACTAAATGCGTTAATTGATTTGCCAAAAAAAAAAAAAAAAAAAAAAAAAAAAAATGGTATGTTTGTAAGTCGCGCATTTGCGATCCGTTTGGCGTTTGGTAGCATCTTAACGCGCTTTCTCCTCATTTCCGTTGAGGGAAATAAATGACGAATAATATGGAGTATGGAAGAAGGGAATGTTAGGTCAGATTAACTTGACCAGATGTGGTCTGTAAAAAGCTAAATAATACCAGAACAGCAAGGTAACTGAAATACTAATAATTGAAAAGGAAGGAATATACGCCGTTTTCACTACATTTTACTCATTCTGTGGTTTACATTGACTACATTATACGCACTTTGACTTAAATATACGCCAAAATGGTTACACAAACAAGACACAGAGCAGTGACAGTCACAGTTCAAGACACAGAGCACTCCCTGTCTTAATATTGATTCAGATTCGCTCTATATACTGTATATCTGTATCTGTTTATGCTTTTTATTATTTTTATTACTTTGGATCAAAAAGTTTCGGGTATCATAGGAATACGGCGAAAGCCACTTGGGCGAGTTCGTGAAGGATGGTTAGGAAGGTTTTTGTTCTATCTTTTCCTATCTATGTTCCTACATGATGGTGCACACGCAACCAGTCTCGCCTTCTGGCTTGGGAGGTCTACCCCCACCATATGCCTCTTCATATTTCAGTTTGGATGGCTCCTTTGTATCACCCTTTAACACTTTGCTACGATTGTTAGCGTCTGGTGTCGTTGCGGATTTGGCAAGAGATGAGGATGATCCGTTTCCAACCTTGGTCGATACTGAGCTAGTTATCAAAGGCTTGATCTGGATCGAGTGTATTGCACCGGGTTTCATATCTTTGTGTCTATAATACAAAGTTTGCCGTTCCTTTACATATCGCCAGTCACCATCGCTTACAAGAATCTCTATATCCATTTCATCATAATGGTACGATGGTACAAAGATCTCTGTCTCAAATGCCAGCACTGTTCCTTCAGGGGGATGTCCAATGAACGAAGAGTTCATCTCTGGGTTCGAGTATGGTAAACCCAGTGAGTTGACAGGTACTGAGCCGCTGTTATTATGTGAGTCTGATGAAGTAGATGTAGTATTTGGAGTTTCGTGTGTAGTCACATGGACAATAGGGGCAGGTGGCTGAAGGTAGTTACAAAACCGGAATGTATACCGCAGTGTTGCAAGATCAAACTCGCTCGATATGGGTTCTCCAGCGACTTTAGCTGCATAGGGTCGCTATTAAAGATTTAAAATAGGAGAAAAGGAGAAAATTAGTGTTTAATAGTAAAAGAGCATCTTGTATGAAGATTAAAAAAAAAAAAAAAAAAAAAAAAAATGAACATACAACAATAGCATCTAGAGCTCGCCCTCCAATATGCGACTCATGATAGCGACCATCGTCCGATTGTTCATCCTCAAAGCGAAAGTATGATCGATCGAACGGTGAGTCCATATCGATTACTTCTTCCTCTTCATTATGAACGGCCAGGTCCTCAGACTGACTGATTTGAGCAACTTGCTTTGTCTCTGAATCGAGTTGTGTAAGAGTGGTTTCACTATCGGTATGATCAATTTTCATTTTGGCTGTGAATTCTGCAGTGGATGTAGCTGAACGCTTCATGACCTCCTTCGCAAAGTTGGGTGCCTGTTGCCTCAGTGTTTGACGAGAATCTGATCCAGGAGATCGGCCCCGATAAGGATCTGGTGAGCATTGAGGCGAATCTAATGAAAAGATGGAGAAATCCTCTCCATTCCAGTGATCGCCGTGGGTATTATCGTTGGTGGCATTGTAATTCCATAACCTGAATGGGATCGTTTTTAAAAAAGAATATTAGTGCAAAGCTTCCATGATCATTAGCAAAAAATTATTGTATGTAAAATACTAACAGAGAATAAAAGAGACATACGTGAAGTTTAATAGGTTCGCTTCCAGAGAAGATAAGACAGCATCCAAAAACTTCGAATGATGACCATAGTCGCCGCTGAGGAATGCTCTGCGCTGATTGATATCCATGGGAATTCCACATTCGCCAATAATGCATGGTTTGTTACCAACATTTTGTAATCCAGTGTTCAAGATATTGGACAGCTGCCCACGATAGTTCTTCCTGGCTCCCTTCAGGCCAAAGTATGTTGCCGAAATTACATTCATTCCCTATTAAGGAAAAGGAAGGTGAAAAAAAGTTAGCTCTAATTCTTCCGCAATAAGGATTCTTTTTTTTTTTTTTTTTTTTTTTTTTTGTATTTCTGATCATTCATTTTTACCTTACTCAAACCCTGCACGTCATGGGTAATACGGCCATCAAAGGCCTTATTGAAGAGTGAATGTAAATCATACCAATGGGGTGCATAAACAATGTTTTCGTCATGATCGTTAGGGCCCCAAACTGGAGGAGGCTCATTCGGGATAGGTTCAACAAAGACGAAGGCTGAAGGGAGGACACTTTGAATAGCTCGTGAGTACTTCCCAATAAAATCTAGATAAAAGCTTGAAAATTCGACCTTTGCTCCAGTGATTGGGTGTTTAGAGAAATAATTGGGTTTATCCACCTGAGGTTGCCCCGTCTTAGGATTCACACTCCAGACACCATGCTGCTTCCAGAGACACTCGCCATCAAACCAAGCTGACTCTTTCTCCTCATTGATTAGCCTTGTCTTGTGTTTCTTTGTAGGCATAGGCCATGATTTCACCCAAACTTCGATTGGGAGCGTCATGCCAGCGCCCAGCGCAAATCCCTCTAAAGCAGAGGGACAGTCGCCAAAGAAAAGATTGGAGTTGAAGTCATATTTCTTGAGATTTTCGAGACCAATATACCCATGACTAGAGAAAACACAGAGAAAATATGTAAGAAAAGTTAAAAAAAGTAAGAAGTATTATATGACTCTCACCACTTTAATGACATAAGAATAAGAAATACTTACTGTGGCTCGTTCATGACCTCAAATCCAATAACGGCATCTAGATGAGCTAATCGTCTATTTCATGGAAAATGCACAAATATTGTCGTGGATTGAGCAAGACGTGAATTCTGGTCCCGAGCGACGCCAGTATATAGAATAGCAATAATAGTAATAACAATCATAAAGAATAGGGCTGTTGGTAAAAAGCATGATGACATCTTTTATAATACCTTGCAAGATGTTGATAGCACTCCAAATATCTGTTTTGTAGGAACTGCTGAATTGGTTCTCCCTGGTAAAACTTTTTGGGTGCGAACACATCTCCGCCCCAGAAGAGCGTGAACATGGTGCTGGCGGCGAGTTTGGTATAATTGGTAGGCCACACCATTGGTGGTGAATCTCCCGCCGATTGGTTAGTGTTGTGCACATATGCTGCTCCTGTGGCTTTGAATTTTGTCATATCCAGCCCCGCAGCCTCAAATGTCCAACCTGGTGCACCAGATCCGCCTGAAAATCGAGACCAGCAGTCCTGATGTGGATCAATAAAGCACTTGATGCCATACTTCGGCATCAGCTTAATTAATTCGATCAATGAATCGATGAATTTTTCATCATAAATACCACTAGTACATACCAATAATAGAAAATAAAAAGCAGTATAAGATCCATAAGTTAGTAAAATGCAAGATCGTGATCCAAGAATTTGCTTATGTATGCTAATTAGTTGTCTATTTATCACCCCTTCCACCACCATGTATGGTATGCACATGCTGCAAAAAACAAAACGAAAAAGAGATAGTTTAAAGATAGTTTAAACTTAATAGATGAAAGACAAATAAAATTCATTTAGTGTAGGACAGATGGTTCAAGGATTAAATGTGGGTGTTACAGAAATACAGAAACACAGAAATGGATGGTTTTTGAGAGCATTGAAAAAACAGAAATATGACGAGATCCTCAGGGCAAGGAGACAGCCATTAGTGTAGTTCGTATTGTGAAGTGTGAGGAGGACTGACAAAAACCCTTGGTTTTTTCAGATTGCATAGTAGTAATAAATAACAGTAGTAAAAAAAGGGATGCAGAACGGAAGAGAAAGAGAATGACAAAGCGCTATTTGGCTTGTTGTCTCACTAGGAGGTGGACTGAACGAGGAGATCATGGAAAGGGAGGAGCAAATAAAATGAGGATGTAGTTGTTGTAGTAAAGAACAGAGATGAAAGACTTACGGTCCAGAGTGTTCTAGTGCCTCCCAAGTCACTAGAAGACGTACAAATGTCAAACCCCATCGTTTCAGCCTCGAAAAGTGCTCGTCTGCCTGATCCAGTGGAAAGGGGCGATTGAGAAAACAGACATTGCGATGATCAAAGAACCCTTCACTCAAATGAGAACTGCCATTGGGTGTTGTTGGTAGCTTGGAGTTACCACACAGATTGACACCTCGGAGCAGCAAGGTTCTGTTCTGCGAATCCCTGAACCAACGCCCTTGTGAGGTGATCGGTCCACCTGAGTACCAATCGTGTGCTTTGCCCGCAGGGCGCAATGGGGTGCCTCCACCGGGCTTCCTTCTGTTATTCTTTTTGGTACCAACCACCCGCTCTTCCTCTGAGGAGGATGGAGGCGAGGATTGGTCACTTTCGGACAGGACAGAAGAGGCATAGGAAGATATGCTCGAGAATGAATGGGTATGTTTCAGTTCCTGTGTCTTGAGATGATGAGAGCGAAAAGTCATGGCAGGCAAAGCTGCGTCTGACTGTTGAGAGGAAGGAGCTGTGTCTGCAGCATCAGGAAGTGAGCTCGTCATTGACCTTTTCGAAATGGGATGGGAATAAGAGTGAGGAGAAGAGGATGAAAATGGGAATGGGAAAAGGAATGAAAGTGGGAATGGGAAGATGGATGTGCCAAAGTTGGATAAAGTTATGGATAAAAAAAGAGTGGAACAATAAAATTGCCAAAGGATGATGGACAGTTTTGCGCAAAAATGAAGAAAAAGGGAACAAAAGAGCGAGCAAAGAGTGGCCGTTAGCAGATAGCAGCCGATGGGATTCCAAGGGCAAAGGCAACTGTCAAGGAGTGGGGAGGAGAGAAAGCAAAAAAAAATGAAAAAAGAGGGGTTGACAATAGTTAATTGAGAAAAAGAAGCAAGATCGACATTAAATGTCAACCAGTTGTCTCCTTCCCTCATCTTGAAATACTCTAAATATGGTGCGACTTGTTTGAGCATTTATTTTTGGGAGGGATATATTAAAGATGACGCCTGAAAAAGGGTTTGAGCCGGAAGTTCGTCGAGAGGAAAGAAAGTGGGAGCAAAGTGTGGATCTAGACACCACACCCAAGTGGTATTTATTAATCAAGCAACATGTCTTCATGTCTGGTCAGCTATGACATTGGTACAAAAAAGTCCGTTTTTGAGTGTAGGATGGGGCGCGTACTTTTAATTAGCTTCGTCAGAGGCGTGTACATGTTAGGTGAAACATGCAACAACACACTTCCTATCATGGTGGATAGGCCATGGGAAGTCCGCTGGCGGGATTGCTGTGTCCTTCTCTCTGGCTCGTTTGAAAAGTCACTCCATTAGACATATTCTTGAAGCACGGAGACGTGGACCCCCACTTATTACATGTGGACATTTGTTACCATACACAGACACCAGGCAGAATGCACATCCATCTTCCATGCGACTCAATTTTCAGTGAATAGACACAAGACAACTCTATGCATGTTGGTAAAAATAGCTACAAAACTCCTTTAAACACGATCAAGATTTGTAAACGGGTCCCATATTATTATTGTAGCAAATATCCGCATTTCGACTTAATGGAAAAAAGGAAGTTTATCTCATTACCAGGGCCTTCATTTCAAGCAATGAATGCCGAGAAAAATTAAGTGAACTGGTTCGTTCTGTACTGCCAGATTTCCATACTGTATGAATCACGTTCTTGATCAAACGAATTACAGACTTTATCAAGCTTCAAGGTGGCCCCGAGTCTTGGCTTTCCAAAAATTAGTGACATCCGTGCTCTGGAGGATTAGGCTTGATGTAATGATTAGCTTATTCATCATTCAGCCTATCAGTCTCTCACACACCGGCAACGAAGGCCATGAATATCTTCTTGGCTGAACACGAATTGAAATGCTAGCGCGAGACTAGGCTGTAGACTGCAATGTCAAATTTCTTCACGTTAATTACATACTGAAACCAAAATTATCGGTGTTGTCATTAAACGTTCTAACATTTGGAAGTCTTGGCTGATTAACATTTGACTGCCAGAGAAATCATAGATTTTTCCGATGAATGCCAGTGCCATTTCTTTCTACAAGTCTTTAGCCTCAATTCCAATAAATCAAAATCTCAGATTATCCACAGGAAAAAGGAAGAGCGAAAATATATTTGTTATGACAGTTTTCCTTACTCATCTCGTTTTCCATTCTTATGTATGCTTCCAGGTTTCCATATCGGTTTCCTATTCACCAGAACAATATAAGATAGCATGGGAAACAACCGCCTCTTAAGTAATTATAGCGCGATTTCTCAGTGCTAGTAAGATAGAGAGCTAAATCAGGACTAGACAACATGCTCAGAGGAACAGACTCGACCGCTGCTGTTTGTGTGACAAGTGATGGCGCACTGGTAGCTTTGGTGAAAAGAAATGGTGAAGGTCTTTTTTCCAGTTGTTCAATTAATGCATCCAAATCTCCACATTCATATCATCTAACTTGATGCTCCTATCTGCCAAAGCTATGAGTATGATCAAGTATCCTTCCTTTTTTTTTTTTTTTTTTTTTTTTTTCCCTTTCTATTTGGCATTATTTTTAACAGATAATACTTAGCACCATATAGTCTCAATGTATACATGATTTTATTTGGAGTTGAGCTTCTATCAGCACAGTTTCATCAGATCAGTATCTGGTATAAATAGTCACTAGCAATACCGCTGAACACCAAAGCACCAGTCCATTTGTTGCTGGCAAACTTGCTCCAGCAATCAGCAGTATTCTCATAGTCAACAGTCTTCAGTTGCCATGTCAAATGCGTTGCAGCTCCACCCACAGAGAGTGCATAGAATAGAGGCCCCTGGTCATTCATGTAGCCGGCCAGCGCCAACATGGAAATCATGCCCGTGGAGAACGCAGCCAAGAACTGGGGAGTTTTCTCCCCGAACCGTAGCGCAGTTGATTTGACTCCGATCTTGATATCGTCCTTTTTATCCTGATGAGCATAAATGGTATCGTATACGAGGGTCCAGCAAACACCTGAGGCGTAAAGTGGAAGAGCGACCCCCCAATTGGTCGTACCTAACATGGCAGATGATCCGAGAAGAGCGCCCCAGTTAAAGGCCAAGCCTAATACCATCTGTGGCCAGTATGTGATACGTTTCATGGCTGGGTATGTAACCACGAGTGACAATGAAGATGCTCCCAAGAGGATGCTACGTAAAGGAAAAAAAGACACAAATACTTCAATCTCAAGCATTGGCCTCAGGAGCAAATAGTCTTTTTTTTTTTTTTTTTTTTTTTTTTAAATAAAAAATACCTGTACATATTGAGCTGGGTCAACACGGCAAGTCCCACACCAAGTTGCAGACCCAAGAATGCTATTGCTTGCTTAGGTGTCACCGCACCAGAAGCCAATGGACGGACTCTTGTTCGTTCGACTTTCTTGTCAATGTTACGGTCCCAAAGATCGTTAATGGTGCAACCAGCTCCGCGCATGATGATAGCACCCGTTCCAAAGAGTCCGATCATGTACAATGTCGATGTCCAGGGTAGATTAGCACCATAGGAAGCCATAGTGATGCTCCATGCTATAGGTCAAGCAATGAATCCAGAGTATGCTTCGTTAAAGTCAACTCGAGAATGACCTACAATTTCACTCGATAGAAGAGAGGGGGTATTTACCGCAAGGCCAAAAAAGTAACCAGGTGCCAATGGGCTTATCAATCCGTGTCAAGAATAGATATGGTTGAATAGATTTTGGCATGCGATCCAACCAAGCAATAGGTGCTATTGTTGGCGCAGTCTTTGTTTTTATCCCATTAATATCCTGAAGATTCGGGCCAGATGAGTACATTTGATTGAATTCTGAGGCATCTATAGGCGCAAAAGGTTGGCTCCGTTGGTGTTGATGCGCAAGAAGTGCTTTACTTGCTCTGGTCAATACATTTTTATTCTTGGCAGATCTCAATGCACGGACGGATAAACTCCTGGCTTGAAAGTGGGACTGAATGGAGGAATGAATGTTGATCCCAAATGCGGAGCTTGTGGTCAAGTGGTTGGCAGTGCCTCTACGAAGGGTAGGGGTAATGTGCACCTTTGTGACATTCATAGCAACATGGTGCCAAAGCGATGCTCCTGTACTGTTCAGCATGTCTTCGTTGGTGCAATGCCACAAACAGGTGATGGCGTCTCAATGATCAATGCTACAATAAGAGAGTAAAGCAACTGCTCACAAGAGTTTTCTTTTAAACAAAACGCCACTGATTGGGCGAAATAATTTGAGATTCAGAGCACAACAGTGTCACGGCTGTCATTATTTATTCTTTTTCTTTTTGCCACGTTGACTAAGACTATGGCTTTGTTGTCGGGCTTGGGACGAATCATCAGCTTCCCGCTTCATAGGATTCTTGTTTTCGTGAATACTCTGTGTTTGCGTTGTAGATGCCTGATGCTTAACATGAGAAACTACTAATCGCTTAAGTTCAGGCGGAAGCGGGGTCACCTGGTCAAACTCAAGTTTGTGGAGCATGTTGGCAAACTCGGCGAGAATATACTGGTGATCGCTGTTGATAAATGTAATCGCCCACGCCATCCCTCTTAGTCTGGGGCCATTTTTGATACCTACAGCAGCCTTCCTTGCAGCCTCCGGGTTTGCTCTTCCGACACGGTGGACATATTCTTGAAGGGATGGCGCCATATCAAAGTTAATAACGGTCGCCACTTTGAGATCTAATCCTCGAGCTAGCAATCCTGTTGCTACAATCACTTCGATAGCCCCATCTGTAATCAATTTGAGGGCCCCTATGCGTTCTTCCGGAGACTTGTCACCATGCATAGCGACGGTGGTGATTCCAGGACATTTGACTCGAATAACATGGGCTAGAAGTTCTGCTCCTATTCTTGATTCGACAAACACTAAAACTGGCGGACGAAAGTATTTGGCATCCTTGAGGAGCGAAAGCAGCTGTTTCTTTTTTGATCCGTTTTCGATCCATATAACGGTTTGTTTGATCTTTGAAGCCGGCGAAAACACGTCCGCGAATTTGGGATTTGAAGTCTCTTTTATAGATGCTTGCTCTTTTATGGCGCCAACCCGAATCCTGAGATGATCGCTGTTCATTAATGTGCCAATGAGTTGCTCTACTTGCTTTGTGATCGTAGCTGAACAGACGATGGATTGTCGGCCGTTTGGCGGTTCGGGAAGGATATCTAGGATCTTCTTCATTTGCTTTCGGAAGCCCATACTGAACATGAGATCGACCTCATCCAATACAAGACAAAATACGTTGGAGAATGATACTTCGCTTTGCTTCGTCAGAATATCCAGTATCCGCCCCGGTGTAGCTACTGCAATTTGAATATTTTGTTTCAGCCGGTGTGTTTGATTCGCCATAGCCTGTCCACCGACTAACAATGCTGTGCGCATGTTGAGCATACCTCTCACCATCTTCTTCGTGACATCCTCAATTTGCATCGCCAGCTCTCGAGTAGGAGCAATAATCAACGCATATGGCCCTATCATCCCATCTCCTGGAAGCTGGGCAAGCCCATATACATGGGTAATAATAGGGATAAGAAAAGCAGCAGTTTTTCCAGATCCCGTCTCTGCAGAAATAATCATGTCGCGACCATAAAGTCCTGCCGGAATGGCCTGCATTTGAACGTCCCTCGGTTGCGTAAATCCATTGTCGACCAAATTTGATAATAATTTGGTAGGAAGTGAGCAGTCTTCAAAACATTGGATCGGTTTTGGGGCATGTTTTCCTTGCACATGAATGTGCAGACTCTCACGAAGTGCTTTAACCTCCTTGGTGGATAGGGACTCAGTTCTCGGTGAATCTCTATATCCTGTAATGCTGGCTACTATCCGGCTACTGGAATACGACCGTAGATGAGGAACTTCCGAGTGAAATATCGCATTTTCATTTATCTGTAATTGTGGCCTCATGTGAGGTTCAAAAATCGGTGATATCATGCCTGGTGGCTCATGTGCGGAATTTTGCCTACATTTCAAGCTACATGGAGAGACAAAGCAACCGTGCAGTCAATGTAAAAGATCATCCCCATTCATGCTGCACTCTTATATACCTCTCTTGATACTAGATCATTATAATAGTCCTTACCTACAAACGAAATGCTGGGTTGTATTGGAAGTGAGTTCTCCATCGCAACCACAGATAAAACTTGCAAGTTTGATGTCTTGGGGCGGCCTCTGACTTAATGTATGGGATACCATGGCTACAGCTCCATCGAAAAAACTTGATGTTTCAACAACGCCCCTTGGAGATATGTAACCGTCATCAGTGTGACCATGATCGTCGTTGTATTGAATTGAATTGACCGCTTCCTTTAACTGTTGTTGTTGCTGTTCCTTATGCTGTCTTTGAAGCGTAAGAAGGGCATTAGCTTCGGCCAAAGACGGTAGTCTGGCTCCTGCATGGTCATTGGTCTTTCGAGCGCTAACAGTCCTGGGAACAAGCATTGCATGTGCTTGCCATGGTAATGGTTAGCTTTCAATTGTTAAAAAGAGATTAGAATGAAATGTGACTTTGCGTTTTTTTTTTTTTTTTTTTTTTTTTTCTCTTATGTATTTTCCCACATCCTTTTCTCTCACCCTTTTGCAAACAAATTCATCCCAAGCACTTAAACACGTACTCTATTGCTTCTGCATCTTCATTTCGTCTTACTCTTCATTCAATACATGGTCCTTTAGAGCAGATAACTCCGCTCCTGTCTGCACTGAATGTGCAAAAATAAAAGTATTAAGCTAACTTTCTAACTGTACTACAAAGAACCAGTTTCGTGCACCCACGACCAACACCAACACAGCAATATGGCAGCTATGAATCCGCCCCCCAGTAGGACTTCAAAGGCCATTGATAGTCAAGATAATACCCTCTCAGCCAATGAGGGGTCATCATTATCAGCTCACCCATCGGTATTAGGAGCGCCTATCAAACCCACTACGAGCGCCAATACGGTTACCAATGGTAGCAATAGTGCCGATAATGACAGCGATAGCAATGCAGCCATTGCTAGTAGTGGTAATGGCCAAGAGTCGTATAGTCCTTGGGATATGCCGCCGATTATCCAGCCCGTCTCGTCCGCCTCTGATACTCGATCCATTGGCGGTCTCAAGGGTTTCTCTAGCCTCAACTCGACTTGGACTCATTTCAGGTCGAAACCCCATCCCACAATATCAGTTCCTGTGACCCCAACATCTCTACATCGACCCAGCATTGACATGGCCGCGCCCACAACACCTCCACGGAGTTCAGCCTACTCGAACCCAGACGACTCGGATAACGCAATGTGTACGCCAACGTTTGGATCAGGTAGTTCTAACTACTCACGGAGAAACAGTGCTGTTAGTGCCATGGCATTGGATACACCTCCGCCACTCTCCCTGATGGATTTAGAGACACCCTCAATGTTAGGCCCCAATTTTGGTTCAGCTCAAGGATCCGGAGCTCAAGGGCCGTTATCGCGCTCGCTCGAGTCTAGTTTCAATAGTGGGAATAATGGATACCCATTTCCTCCTTTTGGTATGCGCTCCGATTCGTCTAGTAGCCTCTCAAGGCGTAGCTCCAGGGCCAACAGTATGTCCATGGAGCCCCGTCATGTGCGAAAAGCCTCAGAGGACACGACTATGAGCGATGGCGGCAATAATTCTGGAAGTGAACGCAGTAGGCGGCATTCGCCGGCTGTTGTCCCATTTGAAAGGAGTGTGCGTCGGTCTGCACTTCTTGTAAGCGAAATTGATCATTCACCTCTGCCCTTTTTAAGGTGTTTCATTCGATTGCAACGTATAATGATGACGAACGTTTCTTTGCATGTTTTTAATTTTCACCTTTTTTTTTTATTTAGCCCAAACCAAAAGGCCTACTCAAAGTCTTCTCTCAATTGGAGGCATGTCATCTAGTTGTAGTTAATGGATAGTCGTGGGTGATGGCTATTGCTAATACTAAAGCAATGTCCACAGGATCGAGTTATTCTGATGAGGCATATTTATTGATGCTCTATAGGAAGAGATCCATCATAACCGGCATGAATACGATCATGAAAGAGAGACAACACAAGTATGCAGAACAATAGGAGACACATCCGGTGCTACGGAAATGGAAACAGGCGCGGTCAGTTGGATTACTTGTAATGATGACTGGCTATCTATAGGAGTATTCCCTGGCATTTAAACTAGTCTTGCTGCTTTTTTTATGATGATTCTATAAAAATAGGCTGCTTCTGCGCGTCAAGGACCATCTTCATTGTATGGAATAGGTAGCATTCGGAGATCATCCATGTCAAGACTTAATCCTGATCAAGAGCTGGCTGTAAGTCGGACAATGAATATTTTAGATGCTTTGCTCTGTTCATATATCTCTCTGACTCTGTTTTTGTCTCTGTCTCTGAACCTGCTGACTCGCTTTTTCACACCAATCAACAGAGTTTCCAACGACAACAGGAAGAATATGACAAGCTATACCAGATGCAGATGCATCAGCTTTCGGAACTTGAGCGACGTCAACAGGAGTTTCAACAGCAACAGGAGCAACATGAACAACATGAGCAGCAGGAACAACAGCAGGAGCAACAGCAAGAACAACAACCGACACATGCTCATATACTCCAATCAACATTGTCCATGCAGGGATTTCACGAGCTTGAAAGCCCTACGAATGGCTCGTTTTTGACACAAAACACCTCTATGCCGTCTATGCCCCCCTCACCTCTGCAGACCCCAATGGTGATGCGAGCAAAACGTAAGTCTTCAATGTGTGAAGAGAGGTTTGACCCTTACCACAGCAACCACCTCAAGCGCAGGGCGGTTTCACCGTCGATTGGACCCATTATTAGTCATCGTCGAAGCCCATCAAGCTCTCCAGCGCGTCACCTGTCTGGGCACTCTAGGCCCAAGACGGCGCTGTCTTCTCCTTCCGGAACTGGATCGTTTTTCAGGCATGGGAATGGACTTGCTAATGGCATAAGTGGAGCCATATCGAGCGTTCACAGCTCCCCGATAGAGAGCAGTGGGGCCAGCAGTGACGACAGTATGAGTTTGAGCAGCCGAAGTAGCGTCAACGGAAGCAGTAGCGGTCTGGCTGGTTCAAGCAGTGTATCATCAACGTTGAACCTTCAGCATACTTCGCGCTCGTTTTCTGAGCTGTCATTGGATATTCCCAAAGACCAAGCCCACAATTAAATTATGTTCATTCAGTAGATCTATCACTTTTGTTGTATCTTTGTCACAAAGCCATGAATAATGCGCTGTTTACCAAAGAAAGAGAATAAGTGGTTTTCCACCTCCTTGGACAGCAAAATGAAAGGATGCTTTGATTGAGATGCCATATCAGCATCTGGCCCAGGGTCCTGGTGATTCTTGACTTGGTATGTCCATCTCCCTTGCCCCTCTTTTATTTTGTTCTCCTTGTTATTTCTATTATCTCCGTAGTCTAAGATCCTCGTTCCTTCTCCTCTCTACCTGCTTTAGACAGGGAGAGAAGGAGTTGTGATATGAAAAAAAAAAAAAAAAAAAAAGGTCAATGCACCCAAATAGAAATTATTAAAGGAGCCCACCCTTGGCACACCAAGGTTCTTTTTAAAGAAGTTTCCCATCGTCATTTTTTTCCTCACTTTCATTGTCTCCATTCCTTTTTACTCCACCCACATCTCAGTCTGACTGTCTTCCTAATCCATTCAACGATTTGTTCTCACTTTTTGATTATCATAATGTCCTCCACACTCAGCACCCTACTCCAATATTTCCTGATTGTTTCCTTGGCGTATCTTTACACATCACGGCCTTGGAACAAAAAGAATGGAGTCACTGGTAGTTCTATGGGAGACGCCCTTAGTAGACTCCAGGTATCAGGACTGGCAGACTATTACACAGAGAGGGTAAGGCGTATTTTTTTTACAATTTATACAGAAGACATGTATAATGCCTTTTTTTTTTTTTTTTTTTTTTTTTTTTGCATATAAACAACCTTGTTTAAATTAAATCACATTTTGCCTTGTGGGTTACCTTTGGGGGGAAACTGTAGAAGAGGCAACGACCACGATGGACAAAAAAGAAGACTATGGATAGGATAGAAAAGTTAAATGGGCCAAAGGAGCAAGAGAAGGGGCAGGTAGCGGTGGTGAGCAGCAGCGAGATCAGAAATACCAAGGAGACGCATCAAGAACTAGGTCGATCAAACGAGCAGGCACTGGCCAGTTCCACTAGAACATCATCCCCCTCACCATCGCCATTACTCCCCAAGAAACAAGGAAAACGATCTAGCTCAGGCTCTCCGCCATCTGCGAGTAAGCAAAAGGCGAATGTCAAGTCAGAGGCAGCAATAACGGCGACAGCGAAGCGATCTCAGAAACAACAACAACAACAACAACAACAACAACAACAACAACAACAGCAGCAACGAACTCTGCGCTCTGTTATGACAACCACTTGCACTGCTACTTCTGATGCTGTGACATCAGAATCGCCCTTCTCTGCGGAGGAGGTACTGAAGAATTGTCGATTTCTATCCGAGATGTTCAAGGATGTGCCTAGCTCAGAGATTGAGCGGGTCATTCGATCGGTGAACTGGGATGTGAGTGAAGCAGCCGCGTTGTTGGCACAGGAAGATTACACATGGCAGTCTGTCCGTCGTCGACGTAGCATCGCAGGATAATGGATTTAGGCTTTTGTAATTATGAAAATTATGATATCTTTTTTTTTTTTTTTTTTATCGCTGATCAAGAAAAAAAAAATCCGTATTCCAGTTTATTTCACGTATGTGTTCACGGATAGCTCTTTTTTTTTTTTTTTTTTCTTTTTTTTTTTTTTTTTTTTTTTTCTTTATATGTAGTCAAGTGGAGCAAGTGGAGAATAGAATGTGTATTGCAATTCCTCCTCTTCATCCTCTCCCAACCCTCACATGAGTTAATAAAACCTTTCTGTGTCACCTCATCTTGAGATTTGGTTCACTTTGTCAAATTAAAACCAAGTTGATTGCTCTCCCGACATGGTATACAATGCCTGCGCCCAAATCTTTTTCTTTCGTAAAAGCATGAAGAAATATCTTTTTCTTGAAAATACATATCCACTATCTTCACGATTCAAAAGTCGAGAATGATGATCTTCTATCATCTATCTACACATGTCATCGGACAGTAGCATTTGCCTTGCAGCTCATACCCATGCAAGGGTGTTCATTGGTCGACGTTGCATATCCTGAAGATCGCGGTAACGCGATATTTCCTGTACGCTCAATTGCTCCTTCAAACCGTTCTTGTCTCAGTTGGGTGTTGACCAAAATGATTTTTGGAGATGTAGCCTGTGGGTAGGTCAATGACATCGTATCTCTTAATCGAATAGTCGCTGTAGCGCAGAATTTGTTTAGACACCGCGCATCCTCCCCCCTCTCCTTTTCATGATTGCCGCTATCCCAACAAGCTCGACAATAAAGCCCTGTCTACAGTGGACGGGCTTAAAAAAAAAAGATCCTCTCAGCAACGCCTGTCACGATACATTTCTATTTCCGACCCGCAAGGGTAAAAGCTCCTGACTGTCATATAGTCATATTCACTGCTCCAATCGCTTCTTGGTCTTATATATTATGCGCGTCTAAGGTTCGGTCCCATTCCTCAATCTTCTTGTGGATGGTAGTTTCCTTATAGTCTGGCTTCCAACTCAGCTCTGTAGTCTGTTGCTCATGGTAGCCAACGAACTTTTGAATCACTTTGCCGAGCGATCAGACGCACTGTGCAGAACAAAGGATTCTTTACTCGTTGATCAGATTTAGCGCAATAATGCCTCGGCAGGGATCGCTGAAGTTTCATTGAAGATCAAGGATACTACTAAATCACGCATGTTTCTCCTGACCGGAAAATCTATGCAAATGCACATTTTCGGTCCAAACCAAATGTGATTACTTGACAATAGCTCTCATGTTCAACTCTGCACGATAAAGCTCTTTGTAGTATTGGCAATAACGATCCTAAATTTTTTTATTTTTTATTTTTTATTTTTTTTATTGGTATTATTTAATCTATGCTGAGAGCCATACGCACGAGATGATCTGAAAGGCAACAGTTGGCTTTGAGGCAGATTGATTTTAGATTACAACGTTATTATCTTAGTCCACTTGGAAGAGCCCATTTTTATCTTACTGCCTTTGAGCTAAATGTGTCTTTATTATTATTATTATTATTAAAGATCTGATACTTTCCAAGTAAGAGATTTATATCTATTTCAAACGGAATTTATTTCTTTCTGGGGTTAAATGCAGACATTTCTTCAAAACATCAACAGCATAATATAACTATTTATACACTTGAACGTTTTACAAATATACACAGAGTAAGAAGCGTGCGCGATATTGGTATAGTAATTTTTTTTTCTTTTTCTTTTTTTTTTTTTTTGCTCTAGAGAAATGTTTTTTTTTTTTTTTTTTTTTTTTCAATACAACGTAAATCTAAGCACGAGTTTTTTGGTCTGATGTTGGTGGTGACGGTAGGGATGATTCTTTTGTTGAGTTAGCGGTGGATGAGATATTGTTGTTTATATTCGTAATGGCGGTGGCGGGTACAACACCGGCATCGATTGTGATATGGAGTGCAACCGGTACAACTGTAGGAGTGGCTAATACTTCTTGTTTCTGGAAATCAAGAATGCTATTCTTATTGTTATAATTGTTATTACTATTAGTGTTAGCTCCGCTGTTGCTGGTATTATTTCCATTGCTTATGATTTCATTATTATTGTTTCCATTACAGTGGTTGTCACCACTGTTAGTGAGATCTGCGGTCGCTGAGGTTGTATTCGAGTTATTAGCGATTGTTGCAGTCGAAGTCAGGTGAGAAGGCAATAGCGGTTGTACCAAGGCTATCACTGCGGGGACAACAGTTCCGCCCTGCACATTCACGCGCACGGATCCCAAGCCCAATGTCGGCTGCTTTTCATGTTTGAATCCCTCACTAATTGGTGAAGAAGGTGGAGGGGAATTGGTTACAAGATCTTCACGCTCTATCATTGCATGCATGAGTGCTGCTTCTTCATCCTCCACTCTCCTTCTCTGCCCTGAATCCTTTAAATTATCAACACTAGAGGGTGCAGGCGACGAAAGCAACAATGATGATGGTGGATCTTCCAGGACCTGCCCATAGACCGGCCGATCATCTTCCGGATCAAGATCCAGTGGACCAATGTTATTTTTCTCAAAAGGAGCAACAGTTGGAAAATAAGAGTCAGAGCTGTCAGCACCAGGGAAATTCTCACTGTATGGTGTTGACAGAGCCGGCATTGAATGTTGATGACGAATGGTAGGTGTTGGTAGTTCCTGATAAAATGGACATTGTTGAGTAGAGTCCACGTCTGAGCCTTCTAGTTCCTCCTTATCACTGGGCCCATATCCTCTACCCTCCAGGTCTTGATCATCTTCTGGCCATTCCTGAATGTCGTTTCCGGCAGCATCCTTGAGCTGTCGCCCACCCCAGACGATCTTGAGACCCATTTCTCGGCTTTCAGGAGTATCGACTGAGGTATCATAGAACCCACCTAGAAGAGCCTTGAATAAGACGCTACCGATCGCAAGTGTTGGTGCAAAGACTAGTGCAAGATTGGACACTGTCATCTTTGTTTTGTCTGAATGAGCTGCGATTTTAGATAGGTGATGACATAGGTACGAGAGAACAATGTAGTTTTGATATGGCAACTGAACAAGAATACTACGTAAGGTCTGGCAGATGTGTCGATCAGTAGTCAAGAGTGATTGGAATTGTTCAAGAAGTATTGGTGGCATTAATGGACTTGGTACTAAAGTTTATGATAATGGATGTAGGGATGTAGTGTGTAGAAACGAGGTGTAGGTTAATCCATTTAGCTTCTTTGTTAGTTTTTCACTTACTATCATGCGCATTATTGCTTATTGTTGTTACGATAGAGGAAAAAAAAAAAAAAAAAAAAAAAAAAAAAGACTCACATTCACGAAGATAGAGTTTGAGTAATGTGGCAATATCATTTGGATCGATTCCATCCATTGTCAACAGATTATAATCCTTGCCCGTGTCAAAGACCCTTTTGAGTTTTTGCACATTGATATGGCTGCCAGGGACACTAATGAGAAGCAAGTTTGTATGAGTTTGGGGCTGAATTCATTACAAGGTTGTTCCACAGAAATTGTTATTTGGAGACAAGTTGTTATAATTCTTTAGTTGTATTGATTGTTGATGTTGTTATCGTTACGGTTCCCTGGTTTCCTCTCCCCTGAGCAAAACAAAAAGCATGAAAACCCACGCCCAATCCTTCATTCCCTTTTTTTTTTTTTTTTTTTTTTTTTCACTCCACACGGGAAAAAGAAAAAAGAGATGTCAATCAGATTTTTGGGTGAGAACAAAGAGAGAGTCCAAGGTCTAAACGTCCCCGTGCGTGTCACACAAGAGAAAATTGCATTTCTGTGGAAATAAATAAAAATAAAATGAGCATTGAAAGGAGTGGGAGAAGAGAAAGATGTTGAAGGATCAAGTTCGGGACATTTCATTTTCAAGTGCAGGGAGAGGGAAAATCAAAGAGAAAGAGTAGAAATAGATGGGATGGATTCATGCACATTCATTCATACATAATAATGCATCAGTAAGACAACGACAACAATCAACAGAACGTTAACTCCATGTAATGCACGATCCAACAATGGAAAAGCCATCTAAACACACACACGCACATATACATATACGTATATATATATATATTTATGTATCTTTAAAAAATAATACATGTACCAGCGTCAATAAAAAAAAAAGAAAAAAGAAAAAAGACTTTAAAGACGGCTTACCGGTAGAGTCCAACTTCATCTACGCCCTTGGCCTCTAAAAACTCTGCACATCGATGCAAAACGGCTGGGACCAAGGGGGTGTTTGGGATGTGTGAGAGCCGGATGGCTTCCTTGAGATCAACGCCAAAAATGGGACTTGCCGACACAACGGCTCCCACGTTCTTTAACAAGGGCTCCGAGTCTTGAGAATGGACCGATCGGGGGCGGAAGATGGTGGTTTTGCAGATATAGAAAAAAAATACACCATATTTGTAAATGGAGAGGAGGAATAATGATGAGCATGAATGCATTGGATATCAGTTTGGTATAGAAAATATCATTTATCTCTTTTATCCTTCTCTTGTTCATTTGCACGACATTTTTTGTCATGTCATACACTCGATAGCCATGGTATGGACATGTAAACACAAGAGAGACAGACAGAGTGAAGCTTCTGTTTTTTTTTTTTTTTTTTTTTTTTTTTTTTTTAAATCCTGTGCTTGATATACATTTGTCTTACACTTTCTGTTTCGCCCCCATGACTTTGACAGCATCTCGGCGCCCTTAGTCCTCCAGGATGTAAGTGAATTGGCCGAAGAAGCAGAGGAAACGGGTCTTTCGAGCCGGTTTCCATTGAGGAGGTTATTATAATTATTGTTATTGAGGCTGGTAAGGTCTGAATTCCTTTTGCTGTTGAAGGTGTTTTGTAATTTCTTGAAGGGGTTGGAGAAGATCTGAGATCGATGATTAGGCCGTTGTTGGGGCTGGTGCTGTTGAGGGGTGAAGGTTGAGGAGAAGGAGGCGAGTAAGTTCAAGGAGGCAGAGGAGCGGACACCTCGAAGTTCACTTAGGGTGATATCGCTGGTTGGACTAGGGGGAGCAGGTTCATAGCTCTGACTATGGCGGATTGAGATGGGACGAGGAAGGGCCTTTATAGCGGAGGAGGAAGGAGATGTAGCAGCAAGCTCGTGCAAAGAAGTAGTGTCAGTCATAGTGGGTGGGGTGGAGGAGAAGGTGCTAGGATCATTATGACTATTGTCAGTCATTTTTTCTTTTTTTTTTCTTCTTTTTATTAGGATTAGAAGTAATTAAAATTAAAATGCAGACTTAGGTACAGGAGGAAACAAAAAAAAAAACCAATGTCAGTCAATTGTCCATGTGAAAAGAAGGTGGAATGGAATGGGAATGGGAATGGAGTGAAATGAATGAAGAAATGAAGATTATGGTGCAAGGCAAAGAAAGAGGAAAAGAAAGAGAGAGAGAGAGAGAGAGAGAATTATCGTAAAAGGCAAAAGGCAAAAGACAAAGGGAAAAAAGGGGGGAGAGGAAAAGAGAAAAGAGTGTGAAGAGCATAAAAATGGAGAGCGATTAATTAGTGAATTATTGTGGAGGAAGGAAGGAAGGGGTAGTGTGTAAAGTTTTTTTTTATTGCAAAGGCAAACAGTAAAAAAGTAAAAAGAGGTATAGCAACCGGGCAAACAGAAAAAAATGTTCAATTGATGCAACGTTGCATCTAGCAGCAAAACAACAACAGCAAAACAGCAGCAGCAAACAATAGCAAAAAAAAGTTCATGTTAAACCGTTGCTGCATTTCCTGCAATTATGCAATCCCAAACAATCGTTTATTTTAATTTGAACGTCCCTGTGCTTTTTTTCTCTCTCATTCTTTCGACTAATGTTTTCTTGAGCCATCTTCATCCACACATTCATACCCTCTCTTTTTATTTCTCTCATTCTTCAGTCCCTGCACCGAAGAACCCTAGGCGGAGGGAGAGAGGGAGGACTTTTTTTTTTTTTTTTTTTTTTAAACTCATTCTCTTTTGACATTTCGTTCATTGACTGAATCGATTTTTTTTTTTCTTTCTCATTTTCTATCCTCACCTTACGCAGTAAACCAGTAAACGGTTCCCCTTCCCCCTTCTCTCTTTCTTGCCCCCTCCTTCTTTCTCTTCCCCCTTCCCATAGAAGAAAATACAGTTGTATCAATTTAATTATACTTTCTTCCTCCATTCCCTGATGCATTTCCCAGGACTGCCCCGCAGGTCGCTTCAGGCACAGGGACAGGCACAGACACAGGGACAGAATCAGGAACGGAATCAGGAACAGAATCAGGAACAGAAACAGCTTCACACTTCACGACTGTCTCTATCGAAATTTCACACCCCACAAAGTCACTCATCCTCCAAACGTATCCGTTCTTGTTTCTCCCTCCCATTGATCGTCATCTTGGCTTGTTTACTTCCTACCCTCACCACTGCATGGCCCTATGTCGATTGCTCCGGGTCCAGTCCCATCTTCAGCCTCACTTCAGTCACCACTCACTTTGACCCAACAGCTGAATCTATCAACCTGGTTCTGCAAGGCAACTTTTCTAATCTCTATCAATACCCTGCAGCTGAAACCAGCCAATGTACGTCCATTTCTCTAGTCTCTTCCACCAAAACTACGTTCACTCTTTTATTTTTATAATACGGACAGTCCTTTTGCTTATGAAAAAAAAAAAAAAAAAAAAAAAAAAAAGAATTTACTTGCAATGCGGCGTAAAATGAAGTGGCAAATATTATAAAAAAAACCACTTGGGGTTTTGCTGTGTTTTTGTTCACTCTATTTTTGTATCCCCGCAAAAGAAGGTTAATGAACAAAAAAGATGGCACTAACAACACTTTCGACATGGGCATACTCTGAAGAAAAACAAACAGAAACAGAGGCCTGGAGGATGGCTTTTAGTAATAATAGTAATATTATAACAATTATTATATATTTAATATCGTCGTCATGTGAACAACATTGGCAGTGCTTGTCTCCGTAACTTTGTTGGATATCCCAATATTTAGGACGCGTGTCAATTCCAAGAATGAGGAATCGATTATAAATTTTAGACTAATTGTAATTAATTTCACAACATTACAACTACAACATTCCATTCTCTCTTTTTTTCTCTCTCTCTCTCTCTTTTTTTTTCAACAGGGAGAACATCTATTGTGACAACTATTTTGGGTACAATGCTTCATCGTAGTGAAGGACCTGCCTGCGAGATGATTACTGGAGATTGTCCCACTGCTTCAGGACCTGGGTTGATTTCTACGGTAGGAGACCATCAAGAACTTTTTTTTTTCTCCATTCATCCTTCACCCATGCTCACAAAATAAAACACATTGTTGTTTTGTTTGTCTTGTGCAATTAAATAGAACTTTACAATATCACAAAATGCACCTTTTGCAGAACTTCTAGTCAGTATGCAGATCATCAATAGGAGTAATCAGAGCATTGTCTGCGTTGCTGTCTTGTTGGAACAAAACATGAAAAAAGTCAATACTGCAGTCAGCTTTCTTCCACTCGCCCTGGCACTGTATTCAGGATTTATCAGCCTTGTCTCTATGATCATGAGGGCTACAGTCGGGACCGGCTTCATGAGCTCAGTAGGCACCTATGGATTAACTTCTGAAACACTCAGCGTCCACACTCCTGGGTTGTTTGACATAATCTTTTATACACAATTTATAGTGATGACCGGTCAGCTTTCTGTCAATTACCCTTCGTTCTACCAGACATTCACCTCACTCTTCCATTGGTCATTTCTGCAGTTCCGGAACTCCCTTGCAGGTGATGGTCCTGAAAATTCTAGTGACGTGCTGACCTATGGAGGCGCAGGCTCTGTCAATCAGATCAAAGGGGCCTATCAATCTTCTGGCAGCATGAGCAACTTTGAAAAACAGCCATCTCTACCAGATCTAGATCTGATGAATGAGTTTGCAAATACTCTTTTCACACCAAAACAAAGTCCATTTATGATAGATATCACGTCCTCTCCCAGTCCGATATTCTCTAATGATCCTCATTTACGGTAATAGTATAGGAATAAGGGGGAGATCTTTTATCTTTTCTTTTCAAATTTACGTAAATCTGTATCTGATCCTGTCATTGTTTGTATTCATGGGTTAATAATAGCAAAAGGCAAGCAGAAACAGTCTCACCAACATTGCCCTCACCATCACCATCAGTGACCACCACGTCAACAACCACAACCACCAAGAATGAGCCCAAACCGACCAGCTCAAGGTCATCCAGCAGATCCAAACCTAGACCTGTTACAGACCCGCCATCATCAACCACGGCAACTCTTGGACCTACTAAAACCACCACAACCACTACCGCTCTTATCATCCCCACTATCAATGACCCCTTTAACAATAATAACCAAGGGTCTCGATATTATAATGCATCACGCTATGGCATGGAGGCCTATGCGGCAGCCATTGGAGCTTACCCATCCAATCTGTTCCTTTGTACCCTCATCAATACTTTCATAGCAGGAGGTATATCCTTATTTATGTCTGCAATCATTCTTCTCATTACATGGTTCAGGGCTAAAGAAAATCACCAAAAAGGCAAAACACTCCAGCATGCCACCAACTTTGTTACAGGTAGGCCAAAAAAAAAAAAAAAAAAAAAAAAAAAGATATTTAAACGGGCCATTAAACATCTCATTGTTGTAATATAATTATACACTAACCTCTTTTAAATGCCAGGCAATCTACTCCGCACCTGGTTCCTCTTCTATACCCCAATGGCTTTGTCTGCAATGTACCAGTTAACCATTTCCGGAGGAACAGTAATGTTGGTGATTGCATCAATTTCGCTGCTCATGTGTTCTGTAGGGATCGCGATTTTCTTAACATGGAGGATATTCAAGGCCTCAACGCAGTTTTTACTTTTTGAGGACCTAAAAACTCTCCTGAGATATGGTCCTGTTTATAACACGTTGGTAAACGAAGGAACATTGTTCTTCCTAGTAACGTTGCTAAAACGGTTCCTTTGGGGCCTCGCTGTAGCGATGCTTTCATCATACGGAGTAGCCCAAGTGGCGATATTGATGCTAGTAGAACTAGGATATGTGCTCGTTATTGGCGTCAAGTGGCCCTATGCTGACTCTGGCGACAATAAGTTTCATCTACTGTTGGGTTTTATCCGACTGGTGGTCACAGGATGTTCAGCAGCATATGTGCATGATTTAAATGCCTCGCCTGAAGCGCGGCAGATCTTTGGCTACATTCAGATGGCATTGCATCTGATTACATTTATTATCATGTTTGCGCTCATTCTCTGGAATACGATCCAAGTATTCATGTTCTGGCAGGCTCGACATACAATTGGATGGCAAGGTCCGACGAAAAATTACAGCTTTGAGGATGGGGTAGGCACGTTGGAACATGGCTGGACCATGGCGGGCAGGCCTATCAGCCTCCAGCACCATCATCATCACCGTCATCAGCGCCGATCAGAGCCCCCTATTGCAAATCTACATAAAACGAGGCGGTATACTATTCAGCCCTATTCATCTGTTACATCTGTTGGTGATCTTGGATCTCTTTCTCGAGACGACCTTATCCGACATCGCTCGCTTTACCATCGCGCGCACCAACCATCCAACTATCGCTCACCTGTATACCCGGCGGATGAAATGGACCGCAGGACAGGCCTGTCAGTAGATCTACGCCCAGAGATCATGGTGGCGCAGGATAGCACTACAGGACCTATCTCAGCTCTATCGCTCTCTCCTATTCCACACTCTCTTTCGGTTGATTCTGTAGATGGGCCTGCAATCCAACTTCAGCCTACTCAGCTCTCATCTATACGCTTCCAGCCTCCTCCCCGAGAGTCATATGCAAAGTTCCAGAGAATGACTCATCAACAAGAGACGACTCCGGACTTCCGATCTCGGCGGATGTCAGAAATCTTTAGAGATGGGAGATACTTGTACAATCCCAATGGGACTTCAGGATCTACTTTGGCTACTAATACTGCTGCTGGAGCATCAACTGCCTCAGCAGGGAAGCGGAATGGTGGTGTTCTCCAATCTATCAAAGGGCTTTTGGGTTTTAGCAAACAAGGAGCGAAAACCATGTCTTTCAGCAGTGAGGGCTCTAAATCAAAGGCATTTGAAGTCATTCGTCCAGTCCGTCCCCCAGCCGTTTCAATGGATACAGCAGATGACATATCACAGGCTGGCGGTGTGAGAGAATTAAATTCTTTAGGAATCAGTCGTTTCTTTGAAGAATCAGGCCGTAATAATGAGCAGAAACGTAACTTGTTCGTGGCAAATCCAGAGGCTTTGGCTTCGCAGACTGGAAGTTTAGCCTCAGATATCTCAGGTATTCCTAGCCTACCAAACCTACAAAGGCCCGCCTCGGAAGCAGCATCAGACCGTACTACCAATGCTAGTAGGCTAAAGTCATCCCAAAAGTTTAGTACAGACTTGATCTCGGCTCTCAATGACGTTGACGATCCTTCGGTTGGTGCCAGTGGTAGCGGGGATACCCTGGAACCTGGTCAGAGAGCTAGTTTACAACAGCGACATATGCATATTGTACATCCACAACCAACCTATGCTCGAAACCCTGTGGAGAATCATATTGCAGAGGCGCTCCGATCGGATACACCTGTAAAGCTACATGGAGGTGAGGTTTTAAAGGTCTCTAGGGGCCCTGAGAAATCAGTTCAGTATTGGAGCAAAGAAGCAGGCCGATATGTTCCTTCCGCTGGGAATTCTACTACGGCGTCATCAATTGCAGGAGACGGAGAGCGGAGGGGAACGCCCCTTCCCATAGTATCACCTCCACTATTACTTTTACCATCAACTACAGGATTCTTAGATCATACCCAGGTCGACGACAGTGGCGCAGGCGTTGGTGGCGGTGCAAGTAGCAGTAGTATTAAAGGTGTTGGGCATAGTGCACCCTCGATTAAAAGTCGTGCAGGTAGCCGACCTGAAAGCCCAACAGAGTCTCACTATAGTAGCAACGTGGCTGCCAGTGCTGAAAGGATGCATGAGATTCTGGACCGCATGTTTTCTGATCAGGACGGTGAGGACTCGGATACGATCAGCGAAGGAGACTCAGTCTCAACCTTCTCTGGCCGTATTTCTGCCACAATATTGGCACTACATCAGAAACAATGCGAGCGTGAGCAGGAAGAGAGCTTTTCAGAGGCGCAGTCCATGTATAGGGCGCCGTTAGCTTCGTCCGAAATGTCTTTGCAGACAGTTCCAGAACATCATGGCGATGGCTCTTTGAGGGATGATAAACAGTACCTTACCAGGCCTGGCGCCAGAAGAACAGTATCAACGTCTGGCAAGGCGCGTCTTGGACATGGGCCTGGACCCGGGACCTTGATGCGAACTTTATCAGGACCGACTACAGGACCTGTTGGCACAGGATCAGGAGGAGGATCAGGGATACTACGTGCCTCCAAAAGCGGATCATTAGCACGGCCCCTTGCTCAAACACCGCTGCATTCTCTTTCTGTATTGCCTTTCTCAGCATCCATGTCATCGTTGCAAATGAGCCCACTCCGCGAAGAACTTGTGAGAATGCCAACGTCACCACTCTCACCTAACGCTACTCCATTCTCAAGGCTAACTGTGTCCCCGACATCATCTATATCACCTGTATCGCCCATATCACCCGCATTACCCGCACCGCTAGCCACAACAGCAATGACAATCGAACCAGAGGGAGTATCCGCACTGCCGGAGCCAAAAACTATGTTAAACGAACCATACCTAGCGCCAGAAGCTGTATCATCTAAAGCATCATCATCAATTACTTCCTTATCCTCAGCAGTAGCAGCGGTTGCTCCTACCTCGGACTTGGCAATAAGTTCATCATTAATGATATCCTCATCTTCAACCTCGGATTCTTCTCCTATGCTACCAAAGCCTAATGACAAGCCTATTATATCCTAGATTAATATTAGAACATATTTAATAATTAAAGATTCATGTGTACATACATTGACATCAATCAAAAACCTTAATGCCTTTAAGGATTTAAGAATCAAAATCAAAATCGAACATTCGCAAACACGAAGATGGTGTACTTATTTGAATATTTATTTTGGCAACAAGTAAACAAAATTTTCATCTCACCAAATTTAATTACTCTTGCCCTAGAGCACGTTCCTTTTTATTGATTCTTGAGATTATAATACAGGAAAAATAAACATAAATTAATTGATTTAATGTGGATAAGAAATGAGAATGCTTTGAAAAATATTTAGGATATGCAATTATTGGAAAAGGGAGCCCTGCTCCCTCTTTTTTTTTTTTTTTTTTTTTTTTTTTTCCTAGGCCTTGAATGGTGTATCTTTGACAGATGTGATGGTACTGACCTCACTGTCAACTTTAGAAGAGTCCGATACTAACTCCTCAATGGTTGGAGCAATGTCCAGCTTCATTGGGCTTCCTGTTTCTTGGCTTCTACCTTCCTCCAGCTTACTTTCCGTTGCAGCATCGGTAGCCTTCTTCGCAGGTCGATTAGGCCTGTCCCATGGAAGGATAATTAAAGTGAGCAACGCTCCGAACAAGCCCAAAGCAGTGATACCGTAGAACGAGTTCCGGTAACCTTTCATCAAAACAGGCCCACCACGCACAGCACCATTGTTATCGCCGTTAGTTGAAATAGATATAACGTTCAAAATAGCGAGGCCAAAAGGAGCACCGAGTTGGAGCCCTGTGTTATAGATAGCTCCCACTAGGCCTTGGTCCTTGTTATCAGCGTCCCGCGCGGCTGTGACTTGAAGCGGGAGCATTGAGAATCCTGTTCCAAAGATATGGATAATCAATGCTGGGAAGATAAGTCGCCAGTAGGAGGTATTCTCGTCCACGAACGTGTACAAGAGGGCCGTAATGCAGCGGAGCAAAAATCCAAAGATGATAATGGGCTTCAATGGTAGGCGGGGAAGTGTCCTTCCAAGGATTGAAAACACGACAATGGCGAGAAGCGAGTGTACCAAGAAGCCGACAGCGGTTTTAATAGGAGACCAACCGTAAACCTCTTGAAAGACCAAATTGGCATAGTAAATGACACCTTGGAACATAGCCATCTGGATAAACGCAAGCACAACAGAGGCAGCAAAGACTCTAGTTTTCCAGACCCGGAGAGGCATCAGCGGCGACTCAACCTTGGATTCGATAAAGATGAATGCACCGATGAGAAGTATACCTATAATGAAGACTGGGAGTGTCTTTGCACTTGCCCAACCCTCTTCTACACCTGTGGTAATATAATAAACAATGCCAGTGACTCCGACTGTTGCGGTTGTGGCGCCAAGATAGTCAATCTTGGGTTTCTCAGACTTGAGGGGTGCTACTGGGATAGCCAAGAACCCGAGAGCTAGCAAAAGGAAAGCAGCAATAGAAGAGACCCTGAAGATCCATTCCCAACCGATACTGGCGATCAACCCCCCGGCTAAAAGAAGACCAACTACTGCGCCCATACCTCCAAAAGCCGCAAAGATCGAGAATGCTTTTGTGCGCTGAGGACCGACAGGGTAATTGATGGCGATTAGAGCCATGGCAGTGGGTACAGTGCAGGCGGCACCAATGCCCTGGAGTGCGCGAGCGATGACAAACATGATGGGGTTCGTTGAGAAGGAGACCACAAGTGCCCAAATCCCAAACCAAGTAAGGCCAAAAAGGAACATCCGACGATGACCAAATAGGTCACCAAGGCGACCTGCGAGGATAAGGAGGCCCGCGAATGCGATTGTATATGCGTTCAGGATCCAGGGCAATTGTGGAATACTAAAATCTAGACTGTCGGCAATGGGAAGAATAGCGACTGCTACTGACGCCCCATTGACTAGTTGGACCGGCAGAAACGAAATAAAAAAGTTTTTAGCATGATAAGTAAATACGAACCAGAGAAAAGTGTCAATACATAATAGTACTAGGATATATAGGGAATTAACCTACCGACATCGATGAATTGGGCTGTTGAGACAACATAAAGGAGTAATGGCCGCATCTTTTCATGAAGCTTTTCAAAGCTTGACTGTTCGACTGAAGCCGTTCCTTGGAGGTCTAAACTGCTAGCCTCCTTGGATATACTTGAGATCTGGACGATGGTGGATGTAGGCTGTGTGTTCTGTTCTGAAGATTGAACCATGATTATAAAAAGTCAGTTGGGCAGAGAGGGATCTATGAATATGATATGGATTGTTGTGAGAAGGGGGAATATTTTAAATGTTTTTTTTGGCCTCCTTTTATAGTTTTTTAGTCATTAGCAAGAGGGTCAATGAAATTAAAAACAACTTGGCAATATGTTCTTCCAGGGAGGGAAGCTAATTTTGAATTCTTTCCCTGCAAAGTCAAAGCCAGCTAAGAATTCATCTTGAACAATGCGCCGCAGTCTTTCAATAGTTCTTTTGAGATTTTTGAGGATGCGCCGCTCTTTTGATTTTAAAGTTTTCCTTCAAGATGACGCAAAAAAGGGGGAAAAAAGAGAATGCTTATGGCATTTAACCTCAGACGATACATCTACACGATTAGAAACAGAATGAAGAAATAAGAAAGTTGTTCTGCCATGGATCCACAGAAGTAAACAGCGCAGCAACCTTTTTTTTTTTTTTTTTTTTTTTTTTTTTTATCCCTGAACAAGAATCTTGGACGCGATTATAGATATAATATAGACATGTGTATACCTTAAAAATCATTTACTAAGCCATGTAGTAAAAAAAGGAAATCAGCGCAGCAGCCATCTTTTTTTTCTTATTTGGTTTTTTTTTATCACGTTCACTCTGGCCTTTCCTGACAAAGCAAGGCTTGGTGAGTGTGTGCGACAGTGATACAAGCAGCTATTAAACGTGAGTAACTCTACCCCATTTACCCGATGCTGCGTAAAAAAGCCCGCTCATTATTATCCAAATGACTCTTTGCAGCATTGTGGTTTTTATTGTTTATTATAATGATGTCGATTGATGACAAAACGCAGCAGCAGAGGTATTTACCATGCATATATTTTTTTTGGGAAAATTATGTGTCTTTGACGCGTAAAATTACTTCTTTTAAAATTGAATTCGGTATTTGCTGGATGGATTAATGAACTTTCAAAGAGCCATTAGAAATATATATACATGTATGCACATATCCCCTAAATGGCGGTTGCTGCTGCCACTGCTGCTGATGCCGAGGTAGTTTTGACAGAGGGGGTTGAGGCTTTCTTTTCCTCCAATTTCTTATGGATTGCTAAAGTCTTTTCTAAACTTGGCTGATGTTTCGCTGCCAATGTTCCTTTGCTGTCATCCACCAAAGGCAAGAATGAAACTTGAGGACGATGGGCAACCAGATTCTTCAGCATGATCTTGTACAACCAGAGTGGTAGATTCCGTACAATGAACCTTGCTATTGCTGCCTTCCATCCCTTGATAGGTCGAAGTGAAAAAAAAAAAAAAAAAAAAAAAAAAAAAAGATGAATGGGTAGCTCAAGAGGGATTTTGAGTATATATTCCAGCCTTGGCTCGGCGAGACTTACCGACGCTCTAAGTTTAGAAAGTGTTTGTCCAGACGCAAAAGCTGCCAGCGCAGCAGGGTATCGTTCGGCTCTATACTCCTTGAAGATCCTCTCAATATGAACTACCTTATTCGAATTCAAGACACTGAGCCAGTTGGCCAATGCAACGGCGTCATGGATTGCGTTCACTGCGCCTGAACCACTTGCTGGATGGACCTATGTAATTTTGAGCAAATTGAAGAAGACAATGAATGTGATGAATATTTGACATTATGATCTTTCTTTCAGTTCTTTCAGTTCAGATAAAAAAAAAAAACTTTTTACCTTGTGGCATGCATCGCCTAAAAGGACAGTGCGTTCATGATACCAGGTACCAAAGACTTTCTCCTCTAGCATGACCTTGGATACCAAGGGGGTATTATCGATAAGGTTCCCGATGGTCAGGCCATTGTCAAGATATTCGCCTACAGCCGGAAAATCTCGGACATCCTTACTCATTGCTGTTGCTGCTTCAGGACCCCACTCTGAGTTTCGGAAACTGTCATTGTCTTTGGAGCTCTCTTTGTTAAGATAGAGAGTTACACTCCAGCAGTAGATGTTGCCTCTGGTTGTCCAAGTTGCCCACTGTGTGTAAATTAAAAGAAAGAAATAATTAAACAATCATACAAAAAGAAAGGGAGGGATAACAACAGCAATGGCCATCACACGTGGTCACCAAGCTCTTACTTACCGAGTACGGCTTGTCCTTGCCAATCACATAATTGAATTCGCAATACTCTTTATTCAATCTAGGATATTGAATCGGATCCAGAGGTTTGGTCTGTCCAACTAGACAAACACAGCTGAACGGTAAAGATCCATCGTCTGAACTGGGTAATTTTCCTTCCTTCTTCAATTCCTTATATAGACTCTGACGAACAGCACTATAGGCACCATCAGCTCCCACAAGAACATCTCCAAGAGCGACTGATCCGTCCGAGAATTGAAGTTCAACTCCATATTCATCCTGTGTGAAACTCAACACACGTTTACCCAAATGGACTTTTTGGGCGGGGATCTGACGACGGAGTAAATCATAGAGCACAGATCGAGTAACAATGTAATTCTTATGCCCACCCCTGCGAAAAAAAAAAAAAAAAAAAAAAAAAAAAAAAATTCTAATGAGGGGTAGCGAAATAGGTGTGGAAGAGAGCGTTGAGCAATGAGGCAGTAGAATCCTAATCCTGTTTTCGTTTGATGAAGTTGATAAAGAACATTCGGGCTCTTATTCTCTTTGCAGAAAGTAATTAACAACTGTTCATCAAACTGTCGGAATGAGTGAAAAAGAGGAAGAGACTGACAACACTTTTAAACAAAACTCACATTTCGACAATGGGTGCCAAGGGCATGGGTACTTCGATCTCACGTTCTTCATTAAGGGTATCGACAGAATAGACAACCCTGGCCAGCGAAATAAATTCATCGTAGATCCCAAGTTGTTTGAACAATGGGGTTACATTTGAACCGAGCATCAATGCAGAACCTAGTAATGACATTTTTTTTTTTTTTTTTGATTAATATTGTATTTTATTTATTTTTATTTTGGTTTTGATTTTCCGTCAATAGATGTCGATCTTTTTTTTATACCCAAAGGCTTGATCTCAGCCATACGGTCAAAGATCTCATATTGTACACCAGCCTTTTCAAGAAGTATTGCCAATGTGAGACCACCAATTCCGGCGCCTACGATCAGGATCGATGGGTTATCAGTGCGTTTTATCTGTGGGCTATCAGCAATCATTTTTTTTTTTTTTTTTTTTCCTTTTCCTGTCTTGATTTGACTAAATGAGTATATTCCTTGGGTCTAATTCTACGAACTATGTTATGCGTAAAGGATTGGAAAGAAAGTGAACAGAGAAAACAAATAAATTAATTTATAGAAAAAAAGGAGCAATGAAAGAAGTGAAGTCAAGTAGAAAGAGAAAATATTTGTTCTCTCATCTCGTCCCGGAAAATAGATGTCGAATGATGAATCGCAATGAGTGTCGAGAAACTTGGATGAATTATTGTTTTCTTGACTTCAACCAATAGCTTGTTGCAACCGCGTGCATTTTTTTGTTGTGTACCCATGGGCGTGCATGTGGAATGTATCACAAATACACAAATGATTGATAGTTTTGCTGTTTAACGTTTGTCTTCATTTTGCTCAAACATCTTTCATCGTTTCTCAGTTTAGAAGAAACAAGTTTATACATTATATGTATACATATAATATGTGCATTCATGCAACTGCATTCAGTTAGGATCTGGGACATGGGACATGGCCTTGAAAACGAATTCTCTTCACTTTTTTTTTTTTTTTTTTTTTTTTTTTTAAAAAATTATATTTTGATGCATGGTATGTACCTTTAATGCTCAATATGCAATCCATCCTTACATCTAATCTTCACTTCATTTCATACTCGGCTCCTGCTCTTTCACCGTTTCAAGAGTATTAGAAGCGGAGGCAGCGGCTGCTTCTTCCCTTGCCTTCCTGATGGCTAGTGTCTTTTGGAGACTAGGTTGATACTTGGGTGGCTCCAGGCCTTTATCTTCTATCTGTGGAAGGAATGATACCTGTGGACGATTTGCAACCATGCTCTTCACTGCAATCCGATACATCCATGCAGGCATGTTCCGCGTGAGGAAGCGGACGAATCTGGCTTTGAAGCTCTGTTTCGAGAATCAAAAAAAAAAAAAAAAAAAAAATTAAAAAAATAAACTTCCATAAGCATGTGCACTGCATGTTGCTCTCTCCCACACTCTTACCGTTCCTCGAAGTCGAGAAAGAGCTTGTCCTGCGTTAAACGAGGCCACAGCAGCAGGATAACGTTCTTCTTTGTATTCTCTAAAAGCCATCTCAATATCCTCCGCTGTAGTTGTATCCAGGATACTGATCCAGTTCGCCAGTGCGACAGCATCTTGCATTGCATTTATAGCACCTGCACCACTTGCCGGGTGAATCTAGTGATTTTTTTAAAAAAGAAAAAGAAATAAAGATTAGTACCTTTCATCGAAAACAACATTGTAATAGACTAAATATACTTGACCTATCTTCACCATACCTTGTGGCACGCTGTCAATATTTAAAAAATATATTCAAAAATATGCAGAAATTAGAACGATTCTGTAAATCAAGAATGGAATGTATTTTTTTTTTCCTCTTTTCTCCTTACCATCACCCAGGAGTACGGTTCTGCCTGCATGCCAAGTAGTAAAGACCTTCTCTTCCAACATAACTTTGGAGATCAAAGGTGTTTGATCAATAAGGTCTCCCAATGTCATCTTCCTGCCGAGGCCTCGACCTCCAGGAAGAGCGAAATCACGTACATCCTTACACATTGCTGTTGCTGCTTCGGGGCCCCACTCCGTGTTTCGGAAACTATCATGATCCTTAGAGCTTTCCTTGTCAAGGTTTAAAGCTACACTCCAACAGTAAATATTGCCTTTGGTAGTCAAAGTACTCCACTGCACGAAAAAAAGGAAATCAGATTGGGTGATGATGGAGGCGAAAAAAAAAAAAAAAAAAAAAAAAAAAATTGCTTACCGAATAAGGTTTGTCATCACCAACAACTATGCTAAAATGGCAAGCGGGATCTTGCAATTCCGGAAACTTTTCAGGATCCATGGGCTTGGTCTGGCCCACCAAACAGACACAACTGAATGGTAAAGCACCATCATCAATCTCAGGCAGTTGATCCTTCCTCTTTAGGGATTGGTAAAGGCTTTGGCGGACTGCACTGTAGGCTCCATCAGCTCCGACAAGGATATCACCATCTGCAGAGCTTCCATCTGAAAATTGAAGTCGGACACCGTGTTCATTCTGTTGCATTGATAATACTCGCTTATTCATATGGATCCGATCTGAGGGGATTTGGCGAAAAAGAAGCTGATGAAATAAAGACCTCGAAAGAATGCCTCCAGTAAAACCGCTCCTATTCACGTAAAGCAAAAAAAAAAAAAAAAAAAAAAAATTAGTACGCCGATACCAATCATTTAAAGCATAAAAAACTGGCATGAGAGAGCCCTTAAAGGAGAAAGACTAACATTTCATCCGAAGGTTGAAAAGACATGGAGAATTGCAGCTGGAGGTCTTCGCTGTAGTTGTCGACAGATTTGGGACGTTTGGAAAGTGATAGAATTTCTTCATAAAGGCCCAGCTGTTGCATCAATGGAATTACATTGACACCAAGGGATAGTGCCGACCCTGGTTTGCGAAAAAAAAAAAAAAAAAAAAAAAAAAAAAAAAAATTAGAAACATTATTGAAGTATTGAAACGATGCTTTCTCTGATATTGTGAAGTTGAAAGGTTATAACAATTCTTTACCCAATGGTTTGATTTCAGTCATACGATCGTATAACTGAAATGGTACATCTGCTTTATGAAGCAGTGTAGCCAGGGTGAGTCCACCTATTCCTGCGCCCACAATCAGCACAGTCGGTTTCTTGGCTGGTTTAATCAGAGGATGATCAGTAGGCATTTTAATTTCTTTGTGTTATTCAAAAAATAAAATAAAATAAAATAAAATAAAATAAAATAAAATAAAAACAAAAAGGAAAAAAAAAAAAAAAAAAAAAAAAAAAAAAAGAGAAAAAAAGAAGTAGCCTGTGCTATGCCATCTCCATTTCATTCATTCATGAACTTTGAGATTCATCCGGACAAAGATCAAAGTAACACAACCAATGTGCGAAGCCGCAGCCAAGGCGTAAAATTGATCGGAGAAAGTCAGGGCACCAATCCGCTGACATTATTTTCTGTCTCCCCTTGCCACGTTGCAATTGAGCCAATAACTGAATGATTTTCTGAGGGCGTTTGAAAACACATGTAATGAGCATCACTAAAAACAAAAAGTATGCCAGAGACGTGACAATAGACAGATTGCTTACTCCAAACTAGTCTAACGTGTTTGCTGATACGCATATGTTTTAGACTAAGTGATTTTTCTTGCTTCTTGTCTCGGATGGTGTTTGACGTTTGGTGTGAACTGAGCGATTGCCATCCATCCAAGGATCCTTGTCTGTTGGTTGAAGATATAGGGATTACTGTTAGTAGAGTAGATGACCACGGGCGAAGCTGACTATGTTGTGATGGGCCCTCACATCTCTGTGTATAAATGGTTTACACTTGAAACATTATAGTCAGCGAGCATCAACTTGGCCTACAAAGTTTTGGCAGCTCGTACACTTCTTAGATGTATAATATTTATCCACACCGAAGAATATGTAACCAAGCGATCTGAACTGGAAGGAAGAATGAAAAGATGGATATATGGCGAAGAGTTAAAGAAAGAGAAAGAAAGAAAGAAAAATTATTCCTCCATTGTTCAAACGAAGATTGGAATGACTCGCGTAAAGAAGGAAGCCTGACATTGAAGGAAAATTTTCCTAATCACAGCCTTATCAGCCTCTTTTCTTTTCGCACCAACTGAACCACCAACCATCTTGAGCAAACGGTTGACGACCTGAATGCATTCTTCATCCCAAGCCCTCCTTGTGTTCTACCAATGCCTTTAATGGCCCATTCCTTATAGAACGGATTAAGTTGTGTCTCCACTTCTGTAAGTTTACCGATATGCTCTTTGCTGCTTGCTCTATTGCCATGGAGAGGAGGTAGGCTGCTGTGCTTTATTGAAGGTACGCTTCTGAATAGCCGAGGGGCAGAAGCGCAGGATACAGCTTCACCCTCAGCTCCACTGACGAAAGACTGGCTCCTGAGGCGGCAATATCGGCAGATTATGAGGTCATAAAAAAGCAGAGAAAACAGTGTCACGATAGAGGAGACGACATGTGGTCGTCACCAAACACCACATGCCTATCTTAAAAGACGTATTTTATCTTCTAGATATTATAGCTAAGAGGATGAAATCCACCCTGTGCTAGTCTGCAGGAACTGTCGTTTTTTACAAAAAGCAGCCACTATTTGTAGAGTAAGGCGATTCAATCATACTTAACCCAACCGTTATCTCGATTGGCGTTTGCAATGTGGCAATAATAAAGTTTGAGTAACTATTGATAATTAATCTTATTCCTGGATTCGCTCGATTTCCCTCTTCTTCACTTCTCCACTCCTCCATTCCCACTCCTCCATTCCTGATCCTCCATTAACAACTTCTAATATCGAAATTAAATAGAGGAAATACTAATGCCAGCAGAACATCCTTTGATAACACCAGACACCAAGCCCACAGTGCTAATCGTCGGTGCTGGTATTGCCGGACTCACATTAGGTATCCTTCTTGAAAAGGCGGGTGTCCCATATGAGATCTACGATCGTATGACTGAAGTCAAGCCGTTAGGTAAAGAAAAAGAATCCTCTATTCATAAATTTTACATTTTCAAAATGACACTTTTAAAAAAAGGTACTGTCGCATGTGTCTAAGATCTATTTTGACTGAATACATTAAAATAAAAATAATAGGATCTGCATTAGCGATAGGCTCGAACGTGGCACCATTGTTCAAACAGATTGGTATTTACGATGAATATTCCAGCCTTGGGAAGCAAGCTTTAACAATTGACCAATATAATGAAGAACGCACATTAGAGTATTCGCTGGACTTCAAAGAGTGTGCCAAGATGTAAGGATCCAAGGAAACAAATGCCATGAGAATACGTACATGCTATAGAACCTAGGCCTTTCAACAACGTTTTATCTACTATTAATGATTATTCTAGGGGGGGTTTTCCAGGATATATCCTCTCCCGTTCGGCCTTTTATGGCTTGTTATTTCGACAGATCCCGCCTAACAAAATCTTCCTAGGAAAGCGGGTCCTATCCATTAAGCAGAATCTGCAGAATGGTGTCCAAATCCAGTTCTCAGATAAGACAGTTGCAGAAGGTGATATCCTTGTTGGTGCTGACGGTGCTTATAGTGCTGTCCGACAGAGCCTCTATGAATCACTAAAGAAAGAAGGTCGGCTACCATCTTCAGATGACGGAGCTTTACCATTCACCTCTGTTTGTCTTGTCGGACAGACTAAACCAATGGATCCTGAAAGATATCCAGACTTGGCAGATCCCTTCTGTCTTTTCCGAAATGTTATTGGGGATAACAAACCATATTCTGTAAGTATTTTGTGCAACAAAAGAATAAAAAAAATACAAGCACACATCATTTATTGTATCTTCTTTCCCACTCTTGTTCTCTGCGGATGCAAGTGGGGGTACTTAACAGTGAAAGAGAATATCTTTTGTTGGGGTGTTACTCAATACTTGGACAATAAAAGTTCTAAGGACCATGACAGCTTCAGAAACTCAGAATGGGGCCCTGAAGCTACAATTGAAATGTGTAAAGAGGTCCGAGACTTTCCAGTTCCTGGCGGCAAGAACAATGATATGACTATTGGAGACCTCATCGACAACACACCGCTGATCACCAAGGTCATGCTGGAAGAGAAAGTGTTTGATACATGGTATTCAGGAAGGACGGTCCTCATTGGGGATGGTAATGCCACTTTATTTGCTTGTTTTGTTGGATTTCATTATTTAAATGCAATCATATGATATAACACTGCTGTGCTCCATTCCTTAATCTCTTAACTCTATTTGTTGGTCTGCATGTGAGCAGCTTGCCACAAGGTACATGTATGATACAAAATAATGAAAAAGAGCAATGAAAACTTTTTGCTCTGTTGAACATTTGGAGTATTCAATGGCCTTTTCTCTACTAACAAGAAAATGAAAACTTTTTTTTATACATTATTATTCATTAGATCCATCCAGCTAGCGGTGCTGGTGCTATGAATGCAATGCAGGATGCAGTGGCATTAGCAAATTGGATTAGTGTGCTAGATTCGACGGCAGTCGAAGAAATGACAGAAGCCTTCAGAGAGTATAAAGCAGAGCGTTACCCAGTTGCCATAAAAGCTTTTGAGAATGGGCGAGCACTATCCAAGGCGACCGCAAAGGTAATGGAGATGTGTTTTAGAGAAGGGTGCAGGTGAAGAAAACTTTTATTGATCGATCGCAATGATTTTAACTCCTCAATACTACTACTACTACTACTACTACTACTACTACTACTACTACTACTACTACTACTACTACTATTACTACTACTAATAATAATAATAATAATAATAATAATAAATACAGGGTTTGATCGCCAGGATAACTCGTTATATTACCAGAAACTTGCCGACGTGGCTTTGGAATATCATGCTTAGACGCATGATGGAGTCGCGACCTCAAGTGTCAATCTTACCTCTAGTTGAGGACAAAGGGACTGTGCCGCCTATGTATCAACCAAGTCTTCAAAAGACACTAGCAATCAGAAAGGCTAAGGAAGCCGAGCAAGCAGAACAAACAACCGCAGCTGCAGCAGTTTAGTAGAAGAGACATTGAGATAAAATAAAGAGAACGTAGTCCAGATCAAGGATAAAGGAATGAAGGCGTGCCGGCGTTATGCAGTTGGCCAGCCACATTTCTTCTACGTTAAATTAAATAAAGCACGATTAGGAGTCTGAATGTAGTCCGTACAAACATTCTCGTCGCCTAAGGAGGACATACCATGTCGTCTTCGCTTGTGCATGGTAACCTGCTGGTGATTAACTCTGGGTGACTCTTGTTGTCTTTCATGAAAAATACTCAACCCTCAAAACGACCCGAGCCATCTTGTCAATATTGTCTAAACGTATAAGCAGAAAAGTCTGCCTACCAACCACTTGACGTCAATTTCACTATACCTACCATTGCTAGTCCACGTGGTGATCTGCGTTTTTTTTTTTTTTTTTTTTTCGTTGCAAATCCTCTCTTAAGGATTGCTATATCTTTAAGGGTTCTATGTCTTCTCTCACCTGATTGTTGTGTTGCATCTCACATTTCTCGGAGAATAAAGTCCAAGGTCAATGTTAACTTTAATATACACCTAGTGCTAGTCTAGTATTTTTTGGAGGCTGCTCTCTTAGTACGTACCCTCGGAAATATCTGCAGCAGGTTATGTCACATCTCTCCCTCAATGTAGAGACAATCTATAATGCTTTATTGCTCTTCCACATGTATCATTCCGCGCCTCCTGTGTATGCCTGGTAATCCCAAAGACGATTATTGCCTTCTGGCTCATGCTTAGATTATCGACATATTGTATCCAGGTATAGGTCAGACCACTGAGTAAAGATACGTAGTGTGGATCATGAGCAAGTGTACTGTGGGTCCCCTCGGTTCTATGTTGCAGACCAAGTTTTACGTATGCTGTTGTAATAACGTATGACTGAGCAAGTGGGCAAATGGTGACTATGCTAATTCGACAATATCTTCATATACTCATTCAGCTAGAAATTCAGAATGCGGCCCAGAAGGTACAACTGGAATGTGTCAGGAAATCCGAGACTTACCATTTCCTTGGAGGACTGTGGGAAACCCTTTCAATAACTTACTGAAACCCCTTGATTATATACATGCACACATGCTACATGTCTCGGGAAGGGCAGTATTGAGTGAGGGCAAATGTCACGCATTGCTTGCATAAGATTTCTGCTGCGCGATAGAGAAGGAACCCCTGCTTGAGAGAATCACAGACGCGCTACAGAATGAATTCTGTTTTGCATGCTTTTGTCAATCAAATGCCACAGAGGCAAATGAATAAAAAGAGCATCCCAATGCATCTGAAAACTCATTCATCTCTCCATTTGTCTTTGTGTTGATTCTCCTTTTCCGTCTCTCCACTCCTTTATACTATCTTATTGCGATCGGCACTACTTATAAGAAGCAATAATGCCATCAGAACATCCTTCACCAGCCAGCAAACCCACAGTAATAATCGTAGGGGCTGGTATCGCCGGACTCACATTAGGCATCCTTCTTGAGAAGGCTGGTGTCCCATACGAGATCTATGACCGCATAACTGAAGTCAAGCCCTTTGGTATGGGGGAAAAAAAAGGATCATGCACACAATTAACTTACAATATCTTTGTCCAACCTAACCCGCTGTCTTTAAAAAAAAGGGTCTGCATTGTCCCTCATAGCGAATGTAACACCATTGTTCAAACAGATTGGTATTTACGACGAGTTTGTCAGCCTTGGAAAGCCCTGCTATTCAATCGATCAATATAATGAGAACCGCAAATTAGAATTTTCGATGGATTTCAAGAAAGCTACCAAGATGTAAGGGAGCGAATGCTATTGCAGAATACATATGCTGTATGAGCTCAAACCATTTCCCACTCTTTTTTTTTTTTTTTTTTTTTTTTGACATTATTTATCTTCTTTGTCTTATTACTGTAGGGGAGGTTTCCCCGGTTATATCGTCTCCCGTTCAGCCTTTCATGACTTGCTATTCCGACAGATCCCGCCTAACAAAATCTTCCTAGGAAAGCGAGTCCTATCCATAAAGCAGAATCTGCAGAATGGTGTCCAAATCCAGTTCTCAGATAGGACAGTTGCAGAAGGTGATATCCTTGTTGGTGCTGACGGTGCTTATAGTACGGTTCGGCAGAGCCTCTATGAATCACTAAAGAAAGAAGGTCGGCTACCATCTTCAGATGACGGAGCTTTACCATTCACCTCTGTTTGTCTTGTCGGACAGACTAAACCAATGGATCCTGAAAGATATCCAGAGCTATCCAATCCTATCTGTTATTATAGGTCGGTTACTGGAGATAATAAACCATACTCTGTAAGTAAATTGAGAAATACATAAAATGATTCTATGAAGATAGACCCTGAAAAGAGAAGCTTACCTTTTAAGCTCTTTATTGTTATATGATATGTATATTTTACTATTCCTCTGTGGACGAGAGTGGGGTCATTTCACTATGAAAAACAATACCTTTTGTTGGCTTGTAATCCAGTACCTGGACAGTGAAAGCTCCAAGAGTCATGATAGTTTCCGAAACTCGGAATGGGGCCCTGAAGCTGCAAATGCAATGTGTAAAGAAGTTCGAGGCTTCCCATTCCCTGGCGGAAAGGACAATGATATGACCATTGGAGATCTCATCGACAACACACCGCTGATTTCCAAGGTCATGCTTGAGGAGAAAGTGTTTGATACATGGTATTCGGGAAGGACGGTCTTGATTGGGGATGGTAATGCTACTCGCTGATAATATCTTGTTATTGTATGTATATAATATTATTTTCTTGGAAGCTTTGTTTTTCATATTCTCACTTTTGTTTGTGTACGTTATGATCATTCCTTTATTTATCCTGCATGACTAGCTTGCCACAAGGTAGCGTACTTTCTGGATATAAATTGGCCATAGGCAAGGAAAAATCCTGAGATATCCTCTAATCCAGGTACAACAAGTTCCTTACTAACAATGAGCATCATGTGTATTTTGACCTCTATTGGATAGGCTCACCCAGCTAGCGGTTCTGGTGCTATGAATGCAATGCAGGATGCGTTGGCGCTGGCAAACTGGATTAGTGTATTAGATTCAAAAGAAAGCAAGGAGATGAGCCAAATCTTCAAAGAGTATAAAGCAGAGCGCTACCCAATTGCTAAGGCTAGTTTTGCACAGGGACGGACGCTATCCAGGGTGACTGAGAAGGTAAGGTTTATATTGTTCAAACATGTTGTCAACCATTGTGTCTCTTAATGGAGGGAGCAAAATGGAGAGGTCGTTTATTTACCAGTGAATTGCTTTCTAACGTTAATCAACTTGATAAATACAGGGTCCGAAGGCTAGGATTACTCGCTATGCCACTAAAAAGATGCCGACCTGGCTCTGGGACATTTTAATTAAGCGTATGCTGGAGTCACGTCCTCAAGTGTCGTTCTTGCCTCTGATAGAGGATAAAGGGACTGTGCCACCAAAGTACCAGCCTAGCCTTCATAAAACATTGGCGATAAGGAAGGCTAGAGAAGCTGTGGAAGCAAGGCTAGCAACCGTGACAGTAAGTTAGCAAGAGAGAGGTTAAGATAAAGAGAAAGTAACCTAAGCTATGGACTAAGGAATGGAAAACAATGAGTTTCTCCCTCCAGCCTCTCCAAAATAAATAATAATAATAATTTCTATAGACGTTTGTTTGAAGGTTTTGGCTATAACCTTGTTTTATTTCACTGCAGAATCAGCTGTGCGACGCGTTAAATATCATATTCAGCATTCTGTTATATCCTTGAGAGAGACACATCATTTCCTCTTTCTTTACTTTTAGTCTTTATACCATCTTCCTCATTTTGTGTATGTAAGATTTTTCTATTACTTCGCTGTAACTGTGGTTGACATTTTTCCTTCCGCAGCTTCTCTCGCCTTTCTGATTGCTAATGTCTTTTGAAGGCTTGGTTGATACTTTGGTGGCACAGTTCCTTCGTCCTCTACAAGTGGCAAGAATGACACTTGAGGACGCGATTCTATCATGCTCCTAATCAAAATGTTCCAGAGCCAGGCCGGCATATTTTTGCTGACGTAGCGAGTAATCCTTGCGACTAAACCCTGTATTTATCAAACATTTTAGTGATAGAAAGTAATACAAAAAACAAAGGCTTCTTTAGCATTTTACTTCCTTCATCAAGATACACAATAGATGGCAATATGTTTTATCCTTAAAAATATTACCCTTTCTGTCACTCTGGATAGTGCTCGTGCTTGCGCAAAACTAGCCTTAGCAACTGGGTAACGCTCTGCTTTATACTCTTTGAAGGCTTTTGTCATTTCTTTGACCGCTGTTGAATCTAGTACACTAATCCAGTTTGCCAGTGCCACTGCATCCTGGATTGCATTGATAGCCCCAGTGCCACCAGTTGGGTGGATCTATTTAATAAAAAGAAGGGATATCAATACAATCATGATATTCGCTATAAGAAAGAATCGGTTTGATATATATTCTGCATATGTTCAAGTAAGGAGAGAGTACCATTGTTCATACTCTTTTTTTTTTATTTTTTTTTATTTTTTTTTTAGCTTATACTTAGATAGTACGCTACCTTGTGACAAGCTATTCATGTATAAAAAATTGCAGAAAAACAAGTGAAGAGAGGAAAGAGCATGAGAAACAAAGTATTGCTGCAATATTGCTAAGCATAATATTATATGTCAGCAATAACACGATATAATCAACGATTAGCATTACCATCCCCAATCAGAACCGTCCGCCCGGAATACCATGTATCAAACACTTTCTCCTCAAGCATGACCTTGGAGACAAGCGGTGTGTTGTCGATGAGGTCTCCGATAGTCAAGTCGTTATTTTTGCCTCCAGGCAATGGAAAGTCGCGAACCTCTTTACACATTGCGTTTGCAGCTTCAGGGCCCCATTCTGAGTTTCGGAAACTGTCGTGGCTCTTAGAGCTTTCGCTATCCAGGTACTGGATTACGCCCCAACAAAAGATATTACCTTTTACTGTCAAGTACGCCCACTCTCATCCACAAAGAGTCAAAAAAAAAAAAAAAAAAAAAAAAAAAAAAGGTAAGATTTTGTAATTCAAGACAAATTTTATATCTCCAAATACTTACGGAGTATGGCTTGTTGTCCCCAAAGACCCTTGGGAAATGACAGATGGGGTCAGCTAATTCCGGATATTTTTCGGGGTCCATTGGTTTGGTCTGTCCAACTAGGCAAACACAGTTGAATGGTAAAGCCCCATCATCTGAAGTTGGTAATTGGCCTTCTTTCTTTAGTGAGTCATAGAGACTTTGTCGGACAGCGCTATAAGCTCCGTCGGCCCCAACAAGGATATCGCCTTCTGCAGTTGACTTATCCGAGAAATGAACCTTGACACCATCCACTGGACTCTGTTTTATGGACAATACTCTCTTTCCAAGGAAGATTTTGTTTGACGGGATCTGTCGAAGCAATAGGTCATAAAAAACTGAGCGAGAGATTATATATCCTGGAGACCCTCCCCTAGAATAGTAAAAGATATAAGAGTAAGAGTTGTACCCGTACAACATAAGTTTATTGCATTTGTTTCTCAAAGTTGCCATAGATCTTACATCTTGGCGCCTCCCCTGAAATCCATCGAATATTCCAATTCACGATCCTCATTGTAATGATGTACAAAATGTGAGAGCTTCCCAAGGCTGACAAGCTCATCATAAATGCCAATTTGTTTAAACAGCGGTGCTACATTCGCTATCAACGACAATGCAGATCCTTTTTTTTTTTTTTTTTTTTTTTTTTTTTGACGAAGTTCATCAGGTTGCAATCGAGCACAGAAAAAAGAAATTGTTAATATGGATTGTAATAATAAAAATGCTCGGGATCATTTTTAGTAGCATGAATGGTATGGATTTCTTTTCCTTACCCAACGGTTTGACTTCAGTCATGCGGTCATAGATCTCGTATGGGACACCAGCCTTCTCAAGAAGGATGCCTAATGTGAGTCCGGCGATACCAGCCCCTACGATTATTACTGTGGGTTTGCTGGCTGGTGAAGGATGTTCTGATGGCATTATTGCTTCTTATAAGTAGTGCCGATCGCAATAAGATAGTATAAAGGAGTGGAGAGACGGAAAAGGAGAATCAACACAAAGACAAATGGAGAGATGAATGAGTTTTCAGATGCATTGGGATGCTCTTTTTATTCATTGCACCTTTGAAAGTTACTTTGAAGCGCGGCGGTTGGAACTCTATGCAGGAGTGCATGTACTGTACTTTGTGCATAAATGCCTCCCTCGGATGAAGGATTCATAATCTTGTTCGTATTCTACATGAACATGTACAGTCACCTGAAATAAAGTTTGGACAAAATGGATTTTCTTGATTTTTTTTTGAACAACCTGGACAAACAGCTCATATGCAACATACATAAAGACTTCATCAATACACATGAAATTTTACATGCTCACTAAAGAGGTCAATACTGTTATTTATTGGGGTTTTGAAGACGGCATTGTTAGAGTAGCAAAAGTGCCATGTAGGTTCAATAGTGAGTGTTCCTACCATCGACCCCATTCACTTCTTCCAGCCTTTCGGGCATGGTAGCGACAAGGCTGGCAGCCTCTCTTGCGGTAAATTATTCCACTCTTCGATAAGAGCCCGTGTGAGAGTGGGAAGATCTCTTGGCCCTTTAGCGCGCCTATCGAGTGCATCCGCAAGAAGTGACCATACATGTTCAATAGGGTTCAAATCTGGGGAGCATGAAGGCCAGTCTGAAATCCTCGGGATGCTGTTTTTTTCGCGCCATTCTTTTGCAATCTTACAAGTATGAACTGGAGCATTATCCTCCATAAGTATGCCATCCCCTACCTCAGCCATAAATCTGGCTAGCTCGCCTTGATATACATCTTCCACGAAACACCGTCCATCTTTACGACCTCTTTCAAATACAACCAACCGAGACTTTCTGGTTGCTGTGAACGCCCCCCAGACCATCAGAGTTGTTCTACCACTTTTGAAAGTGGGTGGGAGGCAATCATGATCGTACTTTTCCTCTACTTTACGCCAAACTCTTATTTGACGAAAATGCTCACCAACTTCAAATGATTCGTCAGTCCAAACTACCCGATTCCAGTCTTCCATGGACCAACTCATATATTTTTTGACAAACTGCAGCCTCCTTTTTATATGTCCTTCTTTTAAGAATGGTTTTTTTACTGCAATCCGGCTGAAAATACCCAGTGAATGCAATGCCTTCGCAACTGTCCTCTCGCAAACTTTGTTCGGCAATTGGTTAGTGATATCATTAAGAGTACACCTTCTATTCTGCTTAGTATGGCGAACGATGCTCCTGAGGTCCCGTTCACTTAGTACTTTGGGCCGTCCTGGGATCGGAGTGCAAGCAGTGGTGCCTCTTTCTTGGTACACCCTGATAATATTAATAACAGAGGTTCGGGGTACACCGCGTTGCAATGCGATTTCCGCAGCCTTCATGCCCGCGAGGTGCATTCCAACGATGATACCTTTATTCTCAATGTCTAAGTGTCTCGCCATGGTGGTTTACTCAAGCTGTTTGTATGTGAAAAACAGGAAGGAAAGAGATTGAAGGAAACGCTTCCCTACGTAACTATTTCAATATTTTATTTTTTTGTCCAATCTTTGTTTCAGGTGACTGTACATCCTATCAAATGAAACCAGAGCAAATAGAGGAATGATGCACAGCAGTAGTCTAAACGTTACAACAATCAATGTATGAAATGACTGGGCATTATTCTCCCCGGAATCATCCTTTCCGAACCATGTATCGAAGGCTTTATCCTTCAATACGCTTCTGGAGGGCAACGACGGATTTTCGATGACGTTTTCAACAGTCAAATCGTTATCCTTACTTCCAGGTAATGGGAAGCCTTGGCCTCTTGAGATATTACAATTACAACTTTAGGACCTCATTCTGAGTTTTGGAGGCTGTCATGATTCTTTAAACTTTCACTGTTCAAGTATAGAGTCATACTCCGACAGAACATTTTCTTTTACCTTCATATGCTCCCACTTCCATCTAGATTTGTTATTCCTGGTGGCCATTGGAAAATCTGAGCTCTGAAAATTTTTCAGGATTCATTGATCTGTCCCACAAGACTAACACAGGTGAATTGTAAAGCTCTATCATCTGAAGCTGGCAAGTGGCCTTTGCTATTTATTGACCCATAGAAGTTTTGTTGGACAGAGTCAATAAGGATATCGCCTTCTACAATCCTCTTGTCTGCGTATTGGACCTGAGCGCCATTCTCTAGACTGTTTTATGGATAAGACTCATGTTCCAAGGGAGTTTATTGGACGGACCCCGCCGAAGCAATACATCATGAAGGATTAACAATAGATTATGTAAATTGGGGATCTTTCACCAAAGAAGCAATATCATAATAATAGAAGAGCCCATACAGTCCATCAACGTGTATTACAATACTATTTATTTCTGTGATGGCTGGCTGCTAAGAATTGCTTTCCAAGGCTGCCATACTCGTCGTAAGCACCACGATGACGCCGCATTTGTTATTAGGGAACATAGTTGGGCGAAGCAATGGAGATCGTTAATATATATTAGTAATTGAACGGTATGAACTTTATTTTATTTTAAATCCAAGTAGTCGACTTTAGCTATATTGTCAAAAGCCTAATATGAAACGCAAGCTTTTTCAAAAAGAATGGTGAATGTGAGTTCATCAATGCCAACTCTGAAGACCAACATTGTGGGTTCATTCTCTAGTATGAACAAAGGGCTCTTTGTTAGCACCATTTTATCTTATTTATAATGTCGATACCATAAGATAGAAGAAAGTAGGTAATTGGAGAAGCGAAAAAAGGCGTCAGTGCAAGACGAAGGAAGAAATGAATGAGAGAGGAGCAGTTAGCATCCGGTCAAAGAATAGGCTAAAGAACGTATCTAGATGGCAAGGTGCAGCACAACAGTCGGATGGGAGAAGACATGGAACCGCTAATCACTAGCGACATAGCAGTCCTTCTCCCATATACAAAGCGGTTCAGGCCTTGAAGTTTAAATATTCTTCATGAAGGGCAACAAGAGCCGCCCGGAGTGAGCTACCGGCAGGCCATAGAACACATAATGAGGAACATATCTCTCTTTAGGCGGCTTGAGCAATTATTGAGATACCCCTACACGAAGTACATACAAGTCTCCAATAATGGAATAGCACATCATAAAAAAAGGTAGAAAACTGCTTTAATATGGGGCGCCTAACGAGCTACGTGAGTCGCTGAATAATGGGTTCAGCTCTTCTTTAGTCCTTGAAGGGACATCCATTACATCCATTCCTTTGTCCCTAACTTAGGCTACATTCCCTTCATTTCATCATAACAGCTCTTCTATCAGAGCGCTGTAGCGGCAGCTGTCTGTGTCACTTCTGCAGCTTCCCTTGTTTTCCTGATTGCCAATGTTTTTTGAAGACTTGGTTGATACTTGGGTGGCACAGTCCCTTTGTCCTCTACCAGTGGCAAGAACGACACTTGAGGACGCGATTCTACCATGCGCTTAATCAGAATGTTCCAGAGCCAGGCCGGTGGGTTCTTACTGATGTAGCGAGTAATCTTGGCAGCTATACCCTGGATTGCCAAGAGAATTAGCACCAGAAATTGATACTTTACATGAATAAATACATTCTTCACCTTTATACTTCATCTAGACGTATCCCTGGCCGATAACGTTTGAGTCTTATTAGCATTACCTTCTCTGTCACCCTGGATAGTGTCCGTCCTTGTGAAAAGGCAGTCTTGGCAACTGGGTAACGCTCTGCTTTATACTCTTTAAAAGCTTTTGTTATTTCGTCGACTGCTGTTAAGTCAAGAACACTAATCCAATTTGCTAGCGCCACCGCATCCTGGATTGCATTCATAGCACCAGCACCGCTAGCTGGATGAATCTATCGAACAACATCAACAATGCAAGTATGCAAATGGTACTCATTGTCATTAAGGAACGGTCTCTTGCATATACTTCTTTCAAGTAAGAGAAAGAATTTCAATAGTCTTCATTGTCTAGATCATTTTTGAGCTTATATGTAGATAGCACGGTACCTTATGACAAGCTATTCGTGCAGAACAAACAAACAAAAAAGTGCGAGGAGAAGGGGAAGTATGAGAAACATAACACAGCTGTAATATGGCCAGTTATAATGTTATATTCCAACAATAATGAGATATAGGCAATGGCTAGTATTACCGTCTCCAATCAGAACCGTCCTTCCGGAATACCATGTATCAAAGACTTTCTCCTCAAGCATGACCTTGGAGACAAACGGTGTGTTGTCGATGAGGTCTCCGATGGTCATATTATTACTCTTGCCACCGGGAACTGGAAGGTCTTGGACCTCTTGACACATTACGTTTGCAGCTTCAGGGCCCCATTCTGAGTTTCTGAAATTATCATGGCTCTTGGAGCTTTCGCTGTCGAGATACTGGGTTACAGCCCAACAGAAGACATTACCTTTCGTTGTCATATACCCCCACTTGCATCCGCAGAGGAAAAGCATCATTTTTTTTTTTTTTTTTTTTTTTTTTTTAAAAAAAAAAAAGAATAAAAAAGGTTGGCTTCTGATTAAAGGGTTGAGTCACATAGATTCATTCTTATGTATTTCTGCTCTTCTCAGCTTACTTACAGCGTAGGGTTTGTCAGCCTCGGTGACCGATCTGAAATGACATTTGGGATCGGCTAGTTCTGGATATTTTTCAGGATCCATTGGTTTAGTCTGGCCCACAAGGCAAACACAAGTGAACGGTAAAGCTCCATCATCAGAAGCTGGTAATTGTCCTTCGCTCTTTAATGAGTCATAGAGGCTTTGTCGGACAGCACTATAAGCACCATCAGCTCCAACAAGAATATCACCTTCTGCAATTGTCTTATCCGCGAATTGGATTTGGACACCATTTTGTAGGCTTTGCTTTACGGACATGACTCGCTTTCCTAGAAAGAGTTTGTTAGGTGGGATCTGTCGATACAGCAAATCATAAAAAACCGAACGAGAGATGATATATCCTGGGAATCCTCCCCTGAAACAACAGTAGTAATTGATAATTAATCAATGTGAAATGAAGAAAAGATTTTGCTTTGTTTTCATAAAGTCGCCATAGCCCTTACATCTTGGCGCCTCCACTGAAATCCAATGAATACTTGAATTTACGGTCCTTGTCATAGTGGTCGATTGTACTGGAGACCTTTCCAAGACTGATGAACTCATCATAAATACCAATTTGTTTGAACAATGGCGCTACATTCGCCATGAGTGACAGTGCAAATCCTTAATAAGACAGTAAAGGAGATCGTCAGTTTGTATTGCAATTTTCAAGATGGAAACATAAACATGTGTATATGAACTCTAATCTTTTTCTTACCCAAGGGTTTTACTTCAGTCATGCGGTCATAGATCTCGTATGGGACACCAGCCTTCTCAAGAAGGATGCCTAATGTGAGTCCGGCGATACCGGCCCCTACAATTAGTACTGTGGGTTTGCTGGCTGATGGAGGATGCTCTGATGGCATTGTCGTTTCTTATAAACAGATCGATCGCAATGATAATATAAAGGAGTGGAAAGGTGAAAAAGGAGAATCAACACAAAGAATGGAGAGCTGAATGAGTTTTCAGATGCATTGGGATGCTCTTTTTATTCATTGCACATCCTTACTTAGTGCATTTGTAGCACCTGATGGATATTGATAAGACCATGTAAAAGCTTTCTTTCTGCATAGAGTTCCAACAGATGCGCTACACAGGAGTAGATTAGCTGTCCGCACAGCAGTATTTTACAAACAATTTGTGTGACATTGCCATCCTTAATCAAAACTAAACCATCGAGGACTGGCAATGATTAGTCCCGGGATTCCTGACGCATTCCAGTAATTCCGGGAGCCCGTTCTGAGTTTCAAACTGAATGGTGTGCACTGACTGAAGGTATTGTCGAAACTGGACATTAACCACTTGCTCAGTCCACATGTTATTACAACAATTAACGCAAAGTTTGATTGCAGCATTATAGGACAAGGAAGCTCATGATATATTTGTACATTCACTCAGTGACCTAACCAATACCTGGATAAAATGTATCGACAATGTAATCATGGGTCAGAAGGTAATGGTAGTCTTTGGAGTTGCCAATCAGACGCAGGAGACGTGGAATGATATTTTTGCAAAAGCAATAAAGTAAATAGACCGGTGGGAATAATGTCCACAATTGGGGGGAATGTGACATAAAAGCGATGGGTATTTCTCGAGGATACATGCCCAGCAGAACATCAAGAGTTTGAAAGGTTGTCTCCGCAGCACCAATATTAGGTATTAGCCTTAAAAATATGTCCTGCCTTTGTTATTATGTCGAAGAACAAGCTAGAGGAAGCATAAAGATTACAGCAATCGGGCGAAGACATGGGATCACGGCTGGAAGGGGCATAGTAATGCTTCTCTGGCCCCCAAGCAAGGATGACAGTATATGAATGGCCGTGTATTAAGTGACGATGGGTAAAAGTGCGACAAAACGTAAATCACCCACGTAGAGTAGTAATGGCAAAGAGAGCGAGTGGACACGAAGTAGAGTCCTCGCCAAAAAGTCGTAAACTAATATATTTTTCAAGATTTTAAATTGAATAAAATACCCCATTTTTAAATACCGAAAAAACACGTACAAAACTCAAAATTTTAATTTTTTCGAAAGCGTTTTCTATTATCAATGAGACGCTCCTCCTCAGACTCACTATCCTCCACTAAATTGAATACGGCTCCAACATCTTGGACAAGATCCTCTATCTCAGACTCTAGGGTAACGGCATCGGCTTCATCCTGGTTCACTACTCTATCAAGTTCCATGTCCCCCTCGTAGCTGTCCACTCTAATCGTGTCTTCCAAGTCCTCAACAGTCTCCTGTTAATCAGTGGCCTCTTGATAAACTTCTTGATCAAAGGTTTCTGCTTGTACACGACCTCTCTCATTGTAGTACCTCATACCAATTTTCACAGATTTTTCCATACAGAGTAGAAGACTCTACACGGAATCTTGGCAAACAAGCTGAGTAGCCTTTTCTTAAGTAACAAGGCTGTCATTGTCGTCCTTGCTTTTGAAGCGATAATATTTTTCACGACAGCCCAGATCTTTTCAATAGGCTGTAGCTCGCAATGGTACGGTGGGGTCTTGAGTATTTCATGACCGCCGTTCTCCTGGGCAATCCTGCTGACAGAAAAATACGACTCGTCAGGAATTGCGCTAATCAATCCCATAAGCTCGTCTTTATTTAATGCTTTTCCATCTTCCCTCGTTGGAATAGCAATATTTTTATCCGCAAGCCATGCTTTGATAGTCGCCACAGTGTCTCTCTTAGTCGGCTTTTTATTTTCCTTGTGGAAATGATATGAAGCGCCATCAAGATGGATTTGGCAAGGTCCAAGTCCCATCTGGTTGAGATTCTCACAAAGTCGTTTAAATATACTATCAAATATATTGGCGTTGAAATTCCCATGATAGTCGTGATCCGTGGCCACAACTCCTGCGTCCCTGATCTCTACTGGCACATCGGCCCACAGCTCAGCCTCCTGTTCTTGGCCTTTCTTCGATTGTGGCTTTGGCCCTTTAGCTGGCCAGACATACACGCTGCCCCTGACAAATTTGCCCTCGACTTTTTTCATGGTTTCATCATAGTACACAACGAACGCCGCGAATATAACCACTATTGGTTTCCTTTCCGCGTCGTTAACAACGCCACCACGCCTTTGGACCCAACGTCTTGCTGCAGCATGGTCAATGTGGCAATAGGATTCATCAAGGAAGACCTCTGGCATTTTAGGCACCCAATTTCCGTCAATAAATCTTAAATTCTTGAGGCGCCGCTCAAGGTAAGTTGCCCGGAATGCGACATTCTCCTTGGAGCCATGCAGGAAGTTCTGTCTAACCCCTTTACTCCAATACAAGCCCATTTTATGAAGATCGCGAGTGATTGACCTCGCTGATCTGCCGATTCCATAGTCTTCTTTAAGTTGGTTAGCGACTATTGCCGCCGAATTAGGGGTCCCAGCCTTGTTTGATTCTACTATGATAGACATCACCTTTGAGCTTACATTCTGATCCATTTATTTCTTTGGGCGTCCAGTTCTTCCACGTTCAGTTCTCTTACATCCCGTTCTTCCACGATCTTTGATATCGAGGATGCCTGTGGTAGCAAGTTTAATTGCTGTCAAACAAGCGTTCCTCCCTACACCCGTCAGAGCCGATAAATTGTCCGCTCTATCAGGAGTTTTCATAAACCACTCTCGAACCGTTTGTGGTGTCTCCTCCGCGGTTATAGCTTTAAAGATATGCGCTATCATAACGTATTCATTACGTGTTATGGTCGCTTTACTGCGAGTAATTTCATCAGCGTCCTTCTGCTCGTTCGACAAGAATGGGTTTGAATCGGCGGAAATGGAAGACTGCCTGGCTTCTTTCTTTGAAGAAACACCCTTGACCCCACGTCTAGGAGGAGTGATCCACCGATATTGTGTGGGTGATCTTTAAGGTGATCTTCGGGGTGGAGCTGCTGATGTTCCTGAAAACCTTAGATCGATAGGGCCTAGCTCGTTATACAGATCACCTAAGTCATCATATGCGGGCAAGTTATGGGTTTCAGGAGGGAAAGACATTTTACTCCTGATAGGTGAGAATATGAATGAGGATGAGGATGAGGATGAGGATGAGGATGAGGATGAGGATGAGGATGAGGATAGTATTGATCAACAGTAATCCATATATATATTTTAAAATATTTGTACGTAAATTTCTTATTTCTCAAAGCTCAATTCAAATTGAGTATTTTAAAAATATATTAGTTTACGACTTTTTTTGGCGAGGACTCTAGTCAATAAACAGACTTTCCTGCTTTATTGGGCTACACAGGCTTAGATAGCGTGGGAAGAAGCAAGGAATATGATTATCAAGGTTCAGGTCTTTGAGGGCTGAGTATTCCTCATGAATGACAACAAGAGTTATTCGGAGCTAAACGCCAACAGCCACATAACGCGTACAAGCGGAGATGAAGTATATCTTCCTAGGGTGTTTATAAATGGTTGTCAACACGAACAACATATACACCCCCCCTAATAATGTGTTTTTTAACTTGCATTGGGAACGGAAGGCACAAACCCGACTAATTAAGTGACATAAGAGCAGCCCTTCCATAAGTCCTACAGACAGTCATCCACTTCTCATTCCTTTATTCTTAATCACCTTAGTCTAGATTATGCTCTCTTTATTTATTTCACTCTAATATCCCCCCTATTAAACCGCTATAGCTGCGGTTGCTTGTCTTGCTTTCGCAGATTCTCTTGCCTTCCTGATCGCCAATGTTTTATGAAGACTAGGCTGATACTTGGGTGGCGCAGCCCCTTTATCTTTTATCAGAGGCAAGAACGACACTTGAGGACGTGACTCCAACATGCGCTTAGTCAAAATGTTCCCAAGCCAGGTTGGCATATTTTTAGTAATATAACGAGTAATCCTTGCCTTGAGGTCCTGTAGTTGTCAAGTGAATTGACATAAGAAAATAATAGTGCAAATATATATATGTCTTAATCATTTCGCCTCTGTCATCAAGATGCACAATGGTTTAATGTATAAACTTACCTTCTCTGTTACTCTAGATAGCATCCGTCCTTGTGCAAAACTAGCCTTGGCAACTGGGTAACGCTCTGCTTTATACTCTTTGAAGGCTTTTGTCATTTCGTCGATCGCTGTTGAATCTAGCACACTAATCCAATTTGCCAATGCCACCGCATCCTGCATTGCATTCATAGCACCAGCACCACTAGCTGGGTGGATCTACCAAGTAAAAAGGAAATAAAAAGGAGGGAATACCAATATAAACATGATATTCGTCGTTAGTAAGAAATGCCTCGTTTTACATTCTCCATTTGTTTAAGTAAGAGAGAGTACCAAGTAGCTTCTATTGTCCAAGCACTTTTTTTCAGCCTATACTCAGATAATACAATACCTTATGACAAGCTACTCATGTATGCCAAAAAAGTGAAGAGGGAAAGAGTATGAGAAACAAAGTACACCTGCAATGTAGTCAAGCATAACATTATATGCCAGCATTAATAAGATATTATCAGTAAGTAGCATTACCATCTCCGATCAAGACCGTCCTTCCCGCATACCATGTATCAAACACTTTCTCCTCCAGCATGACCTTGGAAATCAGCGGCGTGTTGTCAATGAGATCTCCAATGGTCATATCATTATTCTTACCGCCAGGAACTGGAAAGTCTCGGACCTCTTGGCACATTGCAATTGCAGCTTCAGGACCCCATTCTGAATTTCGGAAACTATCATGGCTCTTGGAGCTTTCACTGTCGAGATACTGCGTCACACCCCAACAATAAACATTGTCTTTCACTGTCAAAGTCGCCCACTTGCATCCGCAGAGAAAAAGTAAAAAAAAAGGTAAGCTTCTGCCTATAGGGTTAAGTCGCATAGATTCGTTTTCATGTGTCGCTGATCTCCAGTTTGCTTACAGAGTACGGTTTGTTATCCGCAATAACCGACCTGAAATGACAGATTGGATCGGTTAACTCCGGAAATTTTTCAGTATCCATTGGTTTGGTCTGTCCCACAAGACAAACACAAGTGAACGGTAAAGCTCCATCATCAGAAGCTGGTAATTGTCCTTCGCTCTTTAATGAGTCATAGAGGCTTTGTCGGACAGCACTATAAGCACCATCAGCTCCAACAAGAATATCACCTTCTGCAATTGTTTTATCCGAGAATTGGATTTGGACACCATTTTGCAGACTCTGCTTTATGGCCAGGACCCGCTTCCCTAAAAAGATTTTGTTTGACGGAATCTGTCGAAGCAATAAGTCATAAAAAACCGAACGAGAGATGATATACCCTGGGTATCCTCCTCTAAAGAAATAAAATGGATTGATAGCAGGAAAAAAATAGAAGTTAAGATATAGGTGTAAAATAAAGATAAATATTAAGTTTCGCTATCTTCCTTACATCTTGGTAGCCGCCTTGAAATCCAACGAATAATCAAATTTACGGTCCTCAGTATATTGGTCAATTGAATAGCAGAGTTTCCCAAGGCTGACCAACTCATCATAAATACCAATTTGTTGAAATAATGGTGCTACGTTCGCTATGAGCGATAATGCGGATCCTTTTTTTTTTTTTTTTTTTTTTTTTAATGAGGTTTATCGAAATATAATCCAGTACAGTTAAAAGAAATTGTTATTATGTATTGCAGTAATGGCTACTTTTAGGATCGTTTTTTCGGGAACATAACTGATATGGGTTTCTTTCTTTTTTCCTCTCCCTACCCAATGGTTTGATTTCAGTTGCGCGGTCAAAGATCTCATATGGAACACCAGCCTTCTCAAGTAGATTGGCCAATGTGAGTCCAGCAATACCGGCTCCCACAATCAGCACTGTAGGTTTACTGTCTGGTGTGATTAAAGGATGTTCTGCTGGCATTATTGTTTCTTATAAAGAGCGACAACAGCGACAAGACAATGGAAAGGATTGGGAATTGAAAGAGAAGCACAATGAAGAATGAATGAGTTCCCCGATGCAATGAGATGCTCTTTTTATTCATTGCGCATCCAGTTGCTTTTGCGGCACTTGGTTGAGGAAAAAAAAAAAAAATTTCCAATCGATATCTTTCCTTTCTGTGTAACGCGCGTCTTTTAGAATTCTATGCAGGAGTACATGTGGAAACATGCCTTGGGGCGAAGATACAGGTTATCAACTGTGCTTGTTTACATTCTACTTTAATTTGTCGTTTTGCTGCATTGATATGGATAAATTATTCTGTATTGTGTCCTTCATGGTTGGTTGAATAAACAGTTTGTTTGGTCATTCATGGCACCCCATCTCGATGTGTAAGCATTTCAGTGAATGAGAGTAAGTGCGTTGTATCCTACATGCATGGTCTCAAAAGAATAATGAAAAAGAAGTGCTGTTATCATATTTCTATGCATTCCAGGCTCTCATTCATACGGCACCTGAACGTCAGGTTTTAGTCATCAGATTTCATTGATTTAAATCTAGAGAGGAGACCCCACGCAATTATATTTTATAGCCATGTGGGCCAATATTTCATAGATCAAGTACTGGGTGAGGATTAGGTTCATTGTGTTAGTATTGGATCATATACACTGACCGGGAAACATCCAATTGCCAATGTCCCCTGAAGACTTGATTGGCATATGGGTGGTAAAGTTCCTTTATGTTCTATCAATGACAAGGACCAGACTTGAGAACATGGTCTCAACATACGCTTAACCAAAGTAGTCCAAAGCTTGGCTGGCATATTTTTACTGACGCAGCGAGTAACTTTACTCACCAGATCCCGTATTTGTAAAGGAATAAATATCTTCTTCACCTTTTTGATTTCTTACTAAAAGACACAGCGATCGACAACTTACTTAAACCCTTGTAATGTTGCCTTCTCTGTCACCCTGGATAGCGTCGGATGGGTGGTGGGACTCCATCATTTGAACCCGGTAATTGACCTTGACCCTTCGTGATTCACTTAAGTGATCCATAGAGGCTTTGACGAACAATGATATGAGCACCATCAGTCCTAACAATGATATTACTTTCTAAAATTGTCCTATCAGAAAAATGAGCTTGTAGGCCATTCACTAGACTCTTTTTATGGACAGAACTTGCCTTCCTAAAAGATTTTGCTCAACGGCATTTGATGAAGCAGCAAGTCGTAAAAAACTTATGATGAGAGTGATAAGAATAAAGTTAAAATTAAAAAATCAAACCAAAACAAGGTTTGAGCTCATGCAGCAAGTGTTTCCTTTGGTCTCGACAACGGCCTTGCACTTCAGTAAATACAGTACACAATCCAATGTATGGTCCTCAAAATATTGCTTGTTTGTATAGCAGCCCTTTTTCCAAGGCTGATAAACTCATCATAAATATCATTGCCGCAAGAATAACGTTACATCCACTTTTTTTTCTTTTTGTGGAAATAGTGGGTTATGGTTGGACGGATTGTAATTTTCAAGCATTCTTGTAACCTTAAATGACATGAATTTTTTTCCGCACGCCAAGGGCCATGTGGAAAAGATCTCATATGGAATAACAGCCTCCTCAAGAAAAATGGCTTGTGTGCGTCCAGCAATGTTAGGCCACAACCAGTACTGTAGGCTTAATGTCGTGTGATGCGCTACTGACATTATTTATAATAAGCATCAATAGCGCAAAGATAACAGAAAGAACTAGAGGGACGAAAAAGGTTCATTGTGCATCCAGCTCCAGTTCCTTGTTTGTTGCTTTTGTGGCTCTCAATTGATAAGACCATGCGGATTCCTTTCTGAGCATATTAGATTTCGCACAGCAGCATTCTAGCGCAAACAATAATTGTGACATTTTATACCCCAAGTAAAGCTTTTCTCTTCCAATGTGACCTTGGGAGCGGAAGAAACATGTCTGGTCAACTGCATGGCGCGTTAACTATTAGGTAAAGCCTTCTTTAGTCCTAGAGGGATATATTCATTACTTCTTATACCTCTATCCTTAGTCTGCTCACTTTATTATATTAACAACCCTTATATTCAATCACTATAGGCGCGGTTGCTTGTCTTGCTTCCGTGGTTTCTCTTGCTTTCCTGATCTCTAATGTCCTTTGAAGACTTGGTTGGTACTTGGGTGGCACAGTCCCTTTGTCCTCTACCAGTGGCAAGAACGACACTTGAGGACGCGATTCTATGGCGCGCTTAGTCAAAATATTCCCAAGGCAGGTCGGCATATTTTTTGTGAGGTAGCGAGCAATCGTAGCCCTCAAGCCCTATAATTACCAAAAGAATTAGCATCAGAAAGCGATATTTAAGAGATGTCTTCAGAATTACGATTCCTTCGTCAAGATATACAATGGCTGACAGCTTGTTCTAATAGCAAAAGCCTTACATTCTCTGTTACTCTGGATAACATCCGTCCTCGTGCAAAACTAGCCTTGGCAACTGGGTAACGCTCTGCTTTGTACTCTTTATAAGCTTTTGTTATTTCGTTGGTTGCTGTTGAATCAAGTACACTAATCCAATTTGCCAGCGCCACCGCATCCTGGATTGCATTCATAGCACCAGCACCACTAGCTGGATGGATCTAGCAAATAAAAAAGATGGATACCAATATAAAAATGGTATTCGTAGTGAACAAGGAATAACTCTTTGTATATTCGCCATTTGTTCAAGTAAGAGGAGGGACATCTAATAGTTTTCATTGCATTTGCTCTCTTTCATTTCTTTTTGTCCTCTTTTTTTTTTTTTTTTTTTTTTTTCCTTTTTAGCCTATATCCAGATAGCACGTTACCTTGTGGCAGGCTATTCGTGCAAGACAAGAACGAAATGATGATAATAAAATACAGAAAAACAAGTAAAAAATGAGGAAGAGTATGAGAAACAAAGTGCAGCTGGAATATAGCCAAACATAATAGTATAAACCAGCAGTAATAGGATGCAATCAATGTGTGACATTACCATCCCCAACCAGAACCGTCCTTTCTGAATACCATGTATCAAACACTTTCTCCTCCAACATGACCTTGGAAATCAGTGGCGTGCTGTCAATGAGATCCCCAATGGTCATGTCATTATTCTTGCCGCCAGGGACTGGAAAGTCTTGGACCTCTTTACACATTGCAATTGCAGCTTCAGGACCCCATTCCGAGTTTCGGAAACTATCATGGCTTTTGGAGCTTTCACTGTCCAGGTATTGCACCACACTCCAACAGAATATATTACCTTTGACCGTGAAAATCTTCCACCTACGTCCACGAATAGAATATTAGAATAAGAAAGAATGAAGGGTCAGCTTCCAGGGCTGCAACGCATAGGTCCATTATTATGTCTTCTTTGCTCTATTCAGTTACTTACAGAATAGGGTTTGTTATCTCCAATGACCGAGGTGAAATGGCATTTAGGATCGGCTAGTTCTGGATATTTTTCAGGATCCATTGGTTTAGTCTGTCCCGCAAGACAAACACAAGTGAACGGTAAAGCTCCATCATCAGAAGCTGGCAATTGTCCTTCGCTCTTTAATGAGTCGTAGAGACTTTGTCGGACAGCACTATAAGCGCCGTCAGCTCCAACAAGAATATCACCTTCTGCGATTGTCTTATCCGAGAATTGGAGCTGGACACCATTCTCTAGACTCTGTTTTATGGACACGACTCGCTTCCCTAAAAAGATTTTGTTTGATGGGATCTGTCGAAATAACAAGTCATGAAATGCCGAACGAGAGACAATATATCCTGGAAATCCTCCCCTGAAGTAATAGAATGGAAACAAAAGAACAAATAAGACATAAAATACAACAATGTTAAAAGTTTATTTCGCGCTTTCTTCCTTACATCTGGGTAGTCGCCTTGATATCCATGGAATAATCAAATTTACGATCCTCACTATATTGGTCAATTGAATCGCAGAGCTTCCCAAGCCTAACCAAATCATCATAAATACCAATTTGTTGGAACAACGGCGCTACATTCGCTAAGAGCGACAATGCAGACCCTTTTTTATTATTATTTTTTTTTTTAAAGTGTTTATGTGAGTTAGCATTTTCCAATCTTATTTTTGAACTCAAATGGCGTAAATTCTTTTATTATTTTCTTACCCAAGGGCTTAACTTCAGCCATACGGTCATATATTTCATATGGGACACCAGCCTTCTCAAGAAGAATACCCAAGGTAAGACCGGCAATACCGGCACCTACGATCAGGACTGTGGGTTTGCTGTCTGGCAAAGTATTTGCTGTTGGCATTATTGCTTTTTATAAACAGCGTCGATCGCAATAAAATGATGGAGAAGTGGGGGAGGAAATAAAAAATAGAATGATTAATACAAAGACGGATGGAGAAATGAATGAGTTCCAGATGCATTGAGATACTCTTTTTCTGACTACGCCAAATAATATAAATAAAAAAAGTCCAATCGATTCATTCTGTGTAACGCGTCTTTCACAAAAAATTTCTAGTGCCTCCAATCAAAGAAGAGCCGTCCTCACTTTTAAAAAACTCAATTTGATTTATGAAAGTAGCCACCTTTCTCTCTCTTTTTTTTTTTTTTTTTTTTTTTTTTTTTTTTGTTTCCACACTGGTGATTCCCTTGTTAATGTGTGTGAAGCGTCAAATTTCAGGTAGAGTCTTTTCTCGATCCCAAAAGAGAGATATTCGTAATTTCCTATTTCTTATCCTCAGTTTTAACTATCATCTCCTTTATTCCATTTCAGTATCTTCTCTACTAGAGAGCTGTAGCTGCGGTTACTCGACTTGCTTCTGCAGTCTCTCTTGCTTTCCTGATTGCCAATGTCTTTTGAAGACTTGGTTGGTACTTGGGTGGCACAGTCCCTTTGTCCTCTACCAGTGGCAAGAACGAGACTTGGGGGCGTGATTCTACCATGCGCTTAAGCATAATGCTCCAGAGCCAGCTCGGCATATTTTTAGTGAGGTAGCGAATAATCCTGGCTTTTAGATCCTGTATTTGTCAAGCAAATCGATGTGAGAAGGTAATATGATAAATAAATACACGTTTTGACTATTCTGCTTCTGTCATCAAGATGCACAGTTTTGATAATAAAAACTTGCCTTCTCTGTTACCCTAGATACCGCTCGTGCCTCTGTAAAGGTAGCCATGGCAACTGGGTAACGCTCTGCTCTATACTCTTTGAAGGCTTTTGTTATTTCGTCGGTTGCTGTTGAATCAAGTACACTAATCCAATTTGCCAGAGCCACTGCATCCTGCATTGCATTCATTGCACCAGCACCGCTAGCTGGATGAACCTATCAAATAAAGGGGGAATATCAATAAACACATCGCATTCA